TATGAACCTCACAACTGTTTTCTGTTTTGTTTTCATCATAAAAATTTAAGGAAATGGATGGAAATGGATCATTCTTTATGTGTATGTTGGTATTTGTCTTTCAATGCAAACTTGGAAGAGAATCTATTTATAGACCTGAAGAAAATGGATGAATCTGATTTATCAGTGCCGAAATGAGAACCTTTGTTGTAGCCACTTCTAGTGAGTTAGGTAACCAAATGATGATCATAATGAAAATATAGCAATTGGTTTTTGTGGTAATTTGTTCAGAATTAATAGAAAACAGCAAAATCTAACTGAAACAATCCATAAATATTTAATGCTAAAATGACAACAATTTAATTTCGTCTGTGAATTTTAATCAATCTTAAAAAAAACTTCCCTCTGGTAATTTCCCTGGCTTCCAAACAACTCTGATTTATTACTGACATGTCTTTCGTAGAAATCAATGTTTGTTTATTTAGAAATATGACATGAATATTAAACTTTTTATGGAGTTATGAGTTTGTATTTACATTGATAGAGTTAAAGTCCCTTTAGTGACCAGTTCTCATCATCACTGGCTAGGACAGGGTACTCTCTCCTTTCTATAATGCAGAGTTAATTTGTGATGGTGAACAGATCTCATCATCACTGACCTGGAAGGGGTACACTGATTTTGTTACAATGTAGAGTAGATGTGTGGTGGTAAACAGATCTTTCCATTACTGGCTTAGATGGGATTAGCTGACTATAAATGTAGAGTAAATGTACAGTGGTGAACATGAGATCTTACCATCGCTGACAGGGTCAGATTATGCTAAATTTAGTCTTAGAGTAAATTTGGAATGAAGATGAGAACTCATTACCACTGGCTGGGATGGGTACTCTGACTTTGTTATAGGGTAGGTTTGTAATGGAGGATAGGTCTCATTACCACTGGCTGGGATGGGTACTCTGACTTTGTTATAGGGTAGGTTTGTAATGGAGGATAGGTCTCATTATCACTGGCTGGGAGGGGTACTCTGACTTTGTTATAGGGTAGGTTTGTAATGGAGGATAGGTCTCATTACCACTGGATGGGATGGGTACTCTGACTTTGTTGTAGAGTAGATTTATTCAGACACATGGCTAACATGAACAGTCAACCCTCAGCAGTTTTAATTTGTGAATGATTTCTTGACTTCATTTATTGTTTTAGGCGTTTTACCACACAACCAGTAAAATCTGTTACACACAGTAAATGTTTTACCACAGAACCAGTAAAATCTGTTACACACAGCAAATGTTTTACCACACAACCAGTAAAATCTGTTACACACAGTAAATGTTTTACTACAGAACCAGTAAAATCTGTTACACACAGTAAATGTTTTACTACAGAACCAGTAAAATCTGTTACACACAGTAAATGTTTTACCACACAACCAGTAAATCTGTTACACACAGCAAATGTTTTACCACACAACCAGTAAAATCTGTTACACACAGCAAATGTTTTACCACACAACCAGTAAAATCTGTTACACACAGTAAATGTTTTACCACACAACCAGTAAAATCTGTTACACACAGCAAATGTTTTACCACACAACCAGTAAAATCTGTTACACACAGCAAATGTTTTACCACACAACCAGTAAAATCTGTTACACACAGTAAATGTTTTACCACAGAACCAGTAAAATCTGTTACACACAGCAAATGTTTTACCACACAACCAGTAAAATCTGTTACACACAGTAAATGTTTTACCACAGAACCAGTAAAATCTGTTACACACAGCAAATGTTTTACTACAGAACCAGTAAAATCTGTTACACACTGCAAATGTTTTACCACACAACCAGTAAAATCTGTTACACACTGCAAATGTTTTACCACACAACCAGTAAAATCTGGCATACAGCAAATTATCTGGATGGCCACAAGTCAACTGTGTCTAACATTACAAATCCTGGCTCTTTTTAAAATCTGACACAACAAGATTGAGTCAATATTTTTGATGACGTTGCAGATTTTTTAACCATGAATAATTTGTGTAATGGCCAGGCATAAGTTTAAGACCATGATGTGATTTATCCTCTGATATTGACATGTTAACCAGCAGCTAAGATGTAGACTCAGAATTTTTGTTTGGGAGATGTATAATTACTTTAAATCATGAATATTCATGAGTGGTCATGCATAATTTGTACAGCTTACCAACAATGTTTCCTGACTGATGGGTAATGGAGACATGAAAACTTTGTCGTTTTGTTGGAAAATCAACGTAATGATAAACAGGATGAAAATAGAGTTGCTGTGACGACGGATTTGAGGATCATCATGTTGATTCTAAATAATGTGAAGGATTGTCTTTTATTGGGGTTTAAATATTCAATTTTTACTAAAATTCTGAAGCAAAAGTGCCTAGTTTTTGCTGAAGTCATGAAAGGATATTTTAATATTTTTTTATAGTATAGTCTAGTTAACAATTTCAATGATTTTACCCTCAAAAATCACAAAAGTTCAAACATTGTCATTGATGAACATCAGTGAAACAAAATCTAGTGATAAGAGGTCACAGAGATGAAATACCAGTACACACCTTAATGATAGATAAATGAGAGTAATAATATTGTTAACGTGACAAAAGTAAAGAAAACAGATGATTGTCTATGAGACTCCATGTAATGATAGAAAGACAATCATGGGGACAGAAAACCTGTATACACCTTTGCAGTAGATAAAAATGGAAATCATAGTAATAATTACTGCTCACATGAAGAAAAAGTCATCTATCTGAACACTGTTGTTGTGAGGGAGGCAGCACCTAGTGATAGGAAAAGTCAGGGAGACGGAAAACCTGTAACCGACCACAACAGAACTGTTGACTGCAAAGCTTGATTAGTGTTGTAGTGTAAGGCAGCGACACCTGTAGCTGTAACAGCTTATTACCTGTTATTAATGATATAAGGGACAAACGGCTTATTACCTGTTATTAATGATATAAGGGACAAACAGCTTACTACCTGTTCTCAATGATATAAGGGACAAACAGCTTATAACCGGTTATTAATGACATAAGGGACAAACAGCTTACTACCGGTTCTTAATGATATAAGGGACAAACAGCTTACTACCTGTTCTTAATAATATAAGGGACAAACAGCTTACTACCTGTTATTAAGGATATAAGGGACAAACAGCTTACTACCTGTTCTTAATGATATAAGGGACAAACAGCTTACTACCTATTCTTAATGATATAAGTGACAAACAGCTTATTACCTGTTATTAATGATATAAGGGACAAACAGCTTACTACCTGTTATTAATGATATAAGGGACAAACAGCTTACTACCTGTTATTAATGATATAAGGGACAAACAGTTTACTACCTGTTATTAATGATATAAGGGACAAACAGTTTACTACCTGTTCTTAATGATATAAGGGACAAACAGCTTATTACCTGTTATTAATGATATAAGGGACAAACAGCTTACTACCTGTTATTAAGGATATAAGGGACATCTTTTACTGCTAAAAATCATATTGATGACATAAATGTATTACCTAAAAAAACAGGTTAATTATGTGATAAAAAAACTATTCCCCAAATCTGAAAAAGTATGGGGATCATCCGCCCTCTTACAGAGGTTTTTATCGGGTACTCGCATTCCGCCCAAAATATTACTTCCTTCACCAACATCCATCCTGGCCAAAAAGAGTGATTATTTTAAGTTTGAATAACTTGCTTTACAATTTGTAGTAAAATTAATTTAATTGGAATTAACAGATTATTTAAGTAATAATTATTGATGGTGGTGGCATTAAGAGATCAGATGAGATAAAAAGAACGGACATTTTTAGACATTTTCACAGTCATGTAGTCTCAGATTTTAATGCAAGTCTCTCTCTATCTTAAAGAAATTTCAAACTTAAAAAAAAAAAGAGTTGCATCATCTCTATGATTGACAAAAGTTTACTGCCGTTGGACAGTGTAGAACTGAGAGGAACATACCCCAAGTGACTACACCATTACATGTATAAAGGTAAAAGTTTGATAATTTCAACACATGGTATCAAATACATATGAATTATGGATGAGACAGCAGAGTAAGAGGACCAAAACCATTGTACATTAAAGTGCTTTACTGGAAAAAATAAATATTGAATGAATTCTGGTAGCGAGGAAGTACGCTGAGAAATATTGTACACATTGGTATTACAAAGTCTGGAAACTGTGTTAGTATTGATGTGAACAATAAACTATATTCTACCCTGTATTGATGGGCCTTTAGTCACTTCGTATTGTGTAATAAGACCATCCCATGAGACGGCCATCTTGGAAGTGTTTAACTTCAGGGGAGATGCATGAAGGAAATGTTGATTATAGGAGAGTGTGTCTGTAATAGCGTTTGGAATGTCAGGTTTTTGCTTGTCATTAAGTTGGTCCATTTTATAACAAAGATAATCCAGGGACAAAAATCATCCTTCCTGTTCCGTTCCTTATTTAATGTTTAACCCTAAATCACAGTGGTAGAGCTATCAAAAACTTGTAGGATGAGATTAACACATAGATACTACAACCAAATATTTGTTGTGAATTTGAACCTGGATTAAGGGTTAAGCATCGAAAGGTTTTACAACAGCAGCTACTCATTTGACTGGCCCACAGTACCTGTAAAACACATGATCTGTTAATCTTAGTTATAATTAACCATTATCACTTCAGTTCAGTTCTTTGATGTAATATCAGTTATTACTTCATTTCAGTTATCACTTCAGTTCAGTTCCTTGATGTAATATCAGTTATCACTTCATTTCAGTTATCACTTCAATTCAGTTCCTTGATGTAATGTCAGTAATCACTTCAGTTCAGTTCCTTGATGTAAAGTCAATTATCACTTCAGTTCAGTTCCTTGATGTAATGTCAATTATCACTTCAGTTCAGTTCCTTGATGTAATGTCAATTTTTGTGATTACGATGACAAAGTTGTTGATTTTTAAATATAATGTTTATCTTTTACAGCTGGAGACTATGGATTGTTCCTTAAGGATGACGACCCCAAGAAAGGGGTGTGGCTAGAGTCAGGACGAGCATTAGATTACTACTTACTGAGAAATGGGGTAGGTTATCTCCCTTTTTATACTGCACTTTATGGTTCATTTGCAGGAAGATTTATTAGTTACCTCCCTCAAAATAATGATCCAGTATTTATAAAGCTAATTATATTGAGAAACTTGAGAAGAAAAAAATAATTTCAATTACTTATCTCCCTTTCACAGAACTTCCTTACCACGATATTACTTCAACATTGATCGTTTCGAATACATTTGTGATGTAATCAATAATACGTTAGGTTTCCTCCCTTGGAAAAGAGTTCCTGAGGTTAAAATTTTATATACTGAGGTTGTCTCCCTTGTTATAATGTTCCTGAGGTTTAGATTTCCTTGTAGTATTGTTTCTGAGGATAAGATTTGATATAACGAGGTTGTTTCCCTTGTTATAATGTTCCTGAGTTTTACAAGGAAAATATTTCGACCTCCTAAATTTGTAACTAATTAACAACTAAGTAACAGTTCCATTTTCTTGTACCTGTTGAATTACAATATGTAACAAGGTCTCTTTGTTTTATTTCTAATTAAAAATTTCATTCTAAACTGATAAAGCAATTAAAGGTATTGTTATTAATTGGATTTTTCAATATTTCAAAATTTAAAAATGATTTTTCTTAGAGTATGCACATAGTTCTTGTCCTAATGTGTCCTGATAAACGTCTAGCACTGTACAGGCTTTGTCGCCTGACAATGCATTAATACTGAAATAAGATATCCAATGGCTTGATAGAGACATATGATCTCGACAAGAAGAATGTGTTTAAGGTTTTAAGAGGGTTAGTGTTATCAGGTTTTCTTGATATAGAAACTGACACCGCTGTATCCTTACGTCTTGCAGGGCTAGGAAAAGGACACCGTTAATGTTGGTGTCTGACCATGTCACTGCTACAAGTGGTGTTAGAGTGGCAGTTAAATACATCAGTCTAAGGGTTACCATGTCATATACCAATGGCTACATAGAGCATTTTTCTTAAAAAAAATCCTTAAGATAGAAGAGACTTCAGCTCTATCATTGCTAAGTGCTCTATAAGCTTATTAAGTGCAAAGAATGAAAATTCAAAACTAGTTTCCCACTCATGAAAATATGTATGTTAAATATGATTTTTTCTGATAATTTCACTGAATTTCATGATTTCCCCTGTGAATGGTACTGACTAGATCATCACTGTTAACTTGTATGTTATCAGATATTGAGTTTGTTTTATAAAAAAAAACTTCCTTGAACATACTTGAACATAGAGGAAGTATATTCACTACAAAATCCTGAATCGTATGCAGAAGGAGACCTTTAATCCAAAGAATCATAGACCTTTGTTTCATGTGACCTTTTGACCTTTGACACTAGGAAATGGAGATCTTGTAATAAGATCATGCAGCTGGAGTGCATTTTTGATGAGACACTTTCTGATCATTCCTCAGAGTCCTTACACTGAAGTGTCTAGGGACTGGCTCAACCTGATCTTATTTTACTTTCTTCATCTTTCCTTCTTCCTTCTTTAGTGTGGATATTTTAGACCCTATTTTCCTTGCTGTCCTTGATTCTCGTAAAATAAATGTATTTCCCCGCTATCTATGTTAGTGGTGTAGGTTTCAGAAAGACAAGGGTGTGGGCAATGCTAAACCAGTATGTGTTCACTTCCTGTGAATCAGAAAAAGCTCTTCACATGAAGGAGGTACAAATAGTCCTTTTAATGAGAAGCACTTTGAATATAAACATTTTTTTTAAATTGACGCTTAAGAAACATTTTGAAACAGAATTTTTAAAAACATGAATAAATGTTAAGAATTTTAACTTGATGTTAGCTATGTGGGATCACGTAAGTGTTGCAGAAGTGAGATTCCTACAGGATGGTCTTGTGATTCTAATAAAAATTCTCAAATCCAGACCTGAATACATTGCCAGTCTTTTAGTTCATTTGAAGTATAAACATCGCCTGAAACTGATTGATATTTGATCATTGTAGTAGTGTAAAGAGGTCTAACAGTAAATTTACTATTATATAGAATATAATACTAAGGTATCAATATATGGAATGTCAAATTGATGTACTGTAATACAGTGCTTCAACAGTCCTTCATTGACCTGTTCATGTTCAGAATAAAGTCCTTCATTGACCTGTTCAGGGTCAGAATAAAGTCCTTCATTGACTTGTTCAAGTTCAGGGTACAATCTTCCATTGACCTGTCATTTGTTGACCTGTCCTTTATTGACCTGTCCTTTATTGACCTGCCCTTTATTGACCAGTCCTGACCTGTCCTTTGTTGAACTGTCCTTTGTTGGCATTCCCTTTGTTGAATTGTCCTTTGTTGACCTGTCCTTTGTTAACCTGCCCTTTATTGACCTGTCCTTTGTTGACCTGCCCTTTGTTGACCTGTCCTTTGTTGACCTGCCCTTTATTGACCTGTCCTTTGGTGGCTTTCCCTTTGTTGACCTGCCCTTTATTGACCTGTCCTTTGTTGGCATTCCCTTTGTTGACTGCCCTTTGTTGACCTGCCATTTGTTGACCTGTCCTTTGCTGACCTGTCCTTTGTTGACCTGCCCTTTGTTGACCTGTCCTTTGTTGACTTGCCCTTTGTCGACCTGTCCTTTGTTGACCTGTGCTTTAATGACCTGCCCTTTGTTAACATGTCCTTTATTGACCTGTCCTTTGTTGGACCTGTTTTTAGGCCAGTATGAACCTGCTCTGTGGTTATTCTTGTTACATTCTGTTGATTTTAGTCTTTTTTTAATGAAGTTATATTTTGTTCATTGACCATTCACAGCACCTGATATAGTTTTACAACAGAAATTGACCTCTATATTTACACATGTGGTGAGATGTATCTACATGTAGTAATTCCTCATTTCAGGATTTACTAGAATACAGAAAGAAAATGAGGATATTACAGATCAAAACTCTGGAAGGCAACGCTAAAAAGCTACAGGTGGATGACAGCCATACTGTCGGTCAGCTCATGGTTACCATCTGTACGAGGATCGGTCAGTAACAGTTCTAGAATCTGTTATTATCATAGTAAATTATGTTTTTTAGTACTTGTCTTAACATAGGCTATCAAAAATGGTCTTAAATGTCAAATATTTGATTGGTCAGTTCTTTTAACAATCAAAATTTGCATAGGCCAAATGCAACATCAGTTCGTCACCATAAAGTGACCACTTCTATTTATCTCAAACTCCAGGAATTGCCAACCATGAAGAATACTCACTTGTGCGTGACCTTGCTGATGATGAGAAAGAAAAGACTATGACAATCAAGCGTGACAAATCCATTGCTAAAGACCAGAAAAAATTGGAAGAAATGAGGAAAAAACTACACACAGATGATGAATGTGAGAGGGCTTAGAACATCACAAATTCTTAACTGTTTTTGAATATCATCGTAAATAAACTAATGCAGAAATTATTAGAAAAACTTTTTTGGGATGATTGGTAAAGTGTCGGCTAAATTTGAAATTTTAATGTTGAATGTAGAATTCTAAAATTCATTTTGATTTAGTCAGAGGAAATATTACTGATAGGGAAAAAGGTTATGGTTTTTTATCATTATAGTGTTTTTATCTCCACAGTAGTGAATATATTATTATCACAATTATCACTTTGTTATTAGTTTGATTTTAATACCAAATTACTTGTTCTCTTCAGTGGAATGGTTAGATCATTCAAAGACGTTGAGAGAACAGGGAGTTAATGATGAAGACACACTCTTATTACGACGGAAATATTTCTATTCTGATCAGAATGTTGACCAGAGAGACCCTATACAGCTGAATTTACTTTTTGTCCAGGTAAAACAGTCAATATAAGGGGAGACAATTTGATTATCTCCCCTTGAGAGATTCTCTGTCTGTCAAGGCTGTATATAATTTCCATTGTTCTTGGTCACATTATAAAATTTATCAATTTACCATTTTATTTCATAATTTACACTTTTTTGTTTTCTGTTTTCCAACCTTTTTCATAATGAATTTCACATAATCAAATTTATCACTTACAAATCACCTGTCAACCCACATGTCGGATATCTGAGTAATAGTTAGAAATTCATAGTAAAAACATATTATTTAAGGTAATTTAACAAAAGAACTATATTAAATACAGTATATATTTAGTCTCTAATCCATCTGCTTCCTTTTGTTTTTTTTATTTAATGTGTTTAGTCTGATAGAGAGAGACTGATTCTGGTTTATGTATCCTATTTCAGTCTCGGGATGCCATATTGGATGGTACCCATCCAGTCGCTCAGGAAGAGGCAATACAGTTTGCTGGCTTACAGTGTCAGATCCAGTTTGGAAACCATATAGAAAACAAACACAAATCAGGCTTCTTTGAGTAAGTACAGCAGTATCAAGTTCGGTATCTAAGTTTTATATTCTGTTTGTGTACATGGGATATAATTACTAGTCAGGTTTCTTTAAGTATACTGGCTAAATCATACTGGTGAGACTAGATACGTTTCTCAACTTCTGAAATAAACTAATAAGATATAATATTTCTATAAAAATAGAATAAAATGAAAAGTCTGATTTCCTTCAATACATACTAGGGTACATGGTTCCGGTTCAATGAGTTGATATTCAGTTTCTCAAAATGGAGATAGCAAAATCTGGCTTCCAATGGTTAACACTGACATAACAAAGCCATAATAGATGGAAGACTGAAAACCAAAATTAAAAAAAATTCCTTGATAATGAAATGTTGTTTTATGTCAAACTCATGTGTTATATTATACTTCTATGTATGTATTCAAACATTCACATGATTAAGACAAGGAGACAGTATTGAGAGAGCAAATCAATTTATCAATATGCATTTGATAAAACAAAACATTATAAAAAAAAGAAAATGAAAAACCAAAAAAGGGCATTGAAATTGTGCTGTTCACTACAATATATTTGGCAAAGTGCCTGTAAGAACTTATTTTCTAGTTGCCATAGCGACTAAGCGGTTTTCAAATCTAATGTAAATGTGTTGTTTTGACCTTTTAAACATGAATAGTAAACTGATTTCTGCCTTCTTTCTTAATTTGCAGATTGAGAGAATTTCTACCAAAGGAGTATTGTAAATTGAAAGGTGTAGAGAAAAAGATTTTCGCAGTAAGTATGATGTATTGAGTAACATAAAATGATCAGCATTTGTAGGGAGTGATGGGATGAAATATCATCTCTCGAAACTGTAAAAGATGTAAAAAAAATTGTGGAAGCTCCAGATTAAGTTTCATTTTATTAATAATTATCAGATCTTTCATGATGGACTGCAGATGTATTTCCGTTTGTTTCAACTCGAAAATAATTAAAAATTAGACGATAATGCCAATGATGACCTACGTGTCTGATGAAAACTTTGTCAGTTAACCTGTGTTAACCTGAGACATTTGACCTTCAGGAACACAAGAAGTGGACTGGTCTGTCAGAATATGAAGCTAAAGCCAAATATACTCAACAGTGTCGTGCCCTTAAGACCTACGGTATCACATTCTTCCTTGTTAAGGTAATTACAAATTTGTGTGACACTGTCTTGTCCTACAGAAACTGGCTTACTGAATAGAAAAAGAAACCATTTTTTTAATATTTAATTGTCATTGATATCCCAATTTTTCTGGCTTTCTGGCTTTAAATATCCATAGGTGTTATGTGAAAGTAAAATTGACTTTATCTTGATAATGTAGGTCAGTTATTGACTTTGTGTCTTTATTTGTATTTAACAGGAAAAGATGCAGGGAAAGAATAAACTAACACCACGTTTGTTGGGGATCACCAAGGAGAGCGTCGTCAGGATGGACGAAAAAACCAAAGAGGTAAGCGTTGGACTATCTTCGAGATATATGCAGGATTCTGAGAAAAATAAGTAGCCTGGTGTCGTGTTGTTACGTTCAAGAGAAATAATGGTTAAATTTGGGTAATTTTCATGGTTTTGTCTTTTTTCAGATCATGAAGACTTGGCCCCTGACAACAGTGAGGCGTTGGGCTGCATCTCCAAACAGTTTTACGCTGGTGTGTACCTCTTGTCTTTCTACAGAATAACATGTAGTGTTATCATTTATATCTAGTTTGAGAACTTAGGAGACATTAGAGATTTTCACTACTTTAGTAACACCACCAGTCCTTTTGTAAACTCAGGTGTTTAATTCATACATATTTACAAGTTTGAACCTTTAATTAAAAAAAAACCACCTATGATTTGAAATTCACAATAAAAAAGAAAGTTATAAATCATTTCAGAAGGATTCACTTTATTTTCATACACTTGCTTCATTTTTAAAGATTTCGTGATGTTTTCCATACATAAGTATTTAAACTATTGATATTCAAAACGTATATAAATCATATGAAAATTCTGACAAAAGTTGTCTCCCTTTATTACAGGATTTCGGTGATTATTCAGATGCCTACTACTCTGTACAAACACAGGAAGGAGAACAAATTTCGCGACTCATTGCTGGTTACATTGATATTATACTGAAGCGAGTAAGTAGCTACTTATGTTAACAAACACCCAACAAAACAAATTTGACAAGGGGTCAGAATAAACAGATACTGACTGGTTTTGTTGAGTAAAAGTTATAGTATAATCAGTTTGAGAGGTTTTGAGAATGTCCTGGAGTTTGATTTCTAGTTATGATCTGTACAAAACGTTTAGCTGAATGAAGTGGGTCATGCTGTCTTACAGATATTCTATATGATATAGGACTTAAACATCTAAATCCATCTGAATCTTCTACTTGTCTATCAACTTTCTTGCAGAAAAAAGCCAAAGAACACCTTGGTATTGATGGGACAGATGAAGCTCCTATGTATGAGGATAATGTTGCACCTGGACAGTAAGTTGAGAAGAGAAAAAAAAAGTAATGTTGATTTTCACATGCTGTACATGAGTTGTAATTTTTTCTCTCCAAGCGGTAACCTTGGAATTACTGTTTGGGTTGACTTTACTAGACAGGGTTAAAGTAATGTTTTAGGTACAAGGAATGACTGTTTGGGTTGACTTTACTAGACAGGGTTACAGTAACGTTTTAGGTACAAGGAAGGACTGTTTGGGTTGACTTTACTAGACAGGGTTACAGTAACGTTTTAGGTACAAGGAAGGACTGTTTGGGTTGACTTTACTAGACAGGGTTACAGTAACGTTTTAGGTACAAGGAAGGACTGTTTGGGTAAACTTTACTGGACAGGGTTACAGTAACGTTTTAGGTACAAGGAATAACTGTTTGGGTAAACTTTACTGGACAGGGTTACAGTAATGTTTTAGGTACAAGGAATAACTGTTTGGGTAAACTTTACTGGACAGGGTTACAGTAACGTTTTAGGTACAAGGAATAACTGTTTGGGTAACGTTTTAGGTACTTTACTTTACTGGACAGGGTTACAGTAACGTTTTAGGTACAAGGAATAACTGTTTGGGTAAACTTTACTGGACAGGGTTACAGTAACGTTTTAGGTACAAGGAATAACTGTTTGGGTAAACTTTACTGGACAGGGTTACAGTAACGTTTTAGGTACAAGGAATAACTGTTTGGGTAAACTTTACTGGACAGGGTTACAGTAACGTTTTAGGTACAAGGAATAACTGTTTGGGTAAACTTTACTGGACAGGGTTACAGTAACGTTTTAGGTACAAGGAATAACTGTTTTGGTAAACTTTACTGGACAGGGTTACAGTAACGTTTTAGGTACAAGGAATAACTGTTTGGGTAAACTTTACTGGACAGGGTTACAGTAATGTTTTAGGTACAAGGAATAACTGTTTGGGTAAACTTTACTGGACAGGGTTACACTAACCTTTTAAGTTGGGGTTGATTTTCCTACAATATTTCCTGCCTTTTGCTGTAAAGAGAAAACATCATTTTGTAAACAGCTTGTTAAGTCTATTTTTTGTTTTATAGGGCGACAATAATCAAACAAAACCAAGCGAAGGTCAGCCATGCAGATCACATGTCCGTTGCCATGCCAGGGGTTATGAGGTCAGGAGTCGGTCCCTCCAATTTTTCTTCAGGATCTATGGACTCAATGCAGTCGAGTCAGGTGTCAAACTCAATGCATGTGAGGCATGAGCACAACCAGGTGTGACTGAGTTTGTATTCCTTACTAAACATGTAGAGTGGAGATAAGGCTGAGCTCTTGGGCTCTTTGGAAGGAGGCTGAGCTTTTGTGGAGGGGAAGGATCAGACCTTTAGGGAGAGAGTTGAGCTTTTGTGGAGGGGAAGGATCAGACCTTTAGGGAGAGAGTTGAGCTTTTGGGGAGGGGAGTGATCTGACCTTTAGGAAGAGAGTTGAGCTTTTGGGAAGGGGAAAGATCTGACCTTTAGGGAGAGAGTTGAGCTTTTGGGGAGGGGAAAGATCTGACCTTTAGGGAGAGAGTTGAGCTTTTGGGGAGGGGATAGATCTGACCTTTAGGGAGAGAGTTGAGCATTTGTGGAGGGGAAGGATCAGACCTTTAGGGAGAGAGTTGAGCTTTTGTGGAGGGGAAAGATCTGACCTTTAGGGAGAGAGTTGAGCTTTTGGGGAGGGGAAAGATCTGACCTTTAGGGAGAGAGTTGAGCTTTTGGGGAGGGGAAGGATCAGACCTTTGAAGAGAGTTGAGCTTTTGGGGAGGAGAAGGATCAGAGGTTTGAAGAGGGAGCTGAGCTTTCATGGTGGAGAAGAAAGGGCCGAAATTTCAAAGAGTAGCTAAGCTATGGGAGTGGGGAAAGTGATAGCTAGTATAGCTTTTGGCAAGATTACGACTAGGCATGGTGGAGGAATTAAAGCCTTTTAGGAGGGGATGAGGCTGTGCAGATGAGGAAAGGGAACCCATATATATACATTTGGTGGACATGTATATGTGGAAAAAGGCTGTAGAAAATTAACTAAGTAATTCTGAGCGGAAGTAAAGCTTTTGAATTATCAATGGGAAGAGTATGGGTTCTATGGGGAAAATGTTTAAAGAATTTTGATGAACAATTGGAGAACTTATCAGAAGAAGTTTAAGCAAATTAAGAATAAATGAAGAAAGTTAAATGGGTTTTAAGAATAATGAAAGTTGAGATTGGAAAACACAGATTGAGCTAGGTCCTGTGTAATGAGAAAAATAAAAGAATAAGAGAGTCTACTAGTTTTAGAAGTTTTAGTACTGTACAGCAATATGTACATACTGTGTGATGATTTGTATCCGAGTTAGAGTGACAGACACAGCTAGGTAGGTAATTCCTGCTTAACTTCCCATACCTACCACTACTAATCCTGTAATAGTGATACTTAATCTAATGAGTCATATTATATAGAATTTATTTATGGCAATTTTTATTTTGTTTGCAGCATAATTAGGTATTAACCTATAAAATTAAGTTGAAATATTTGTATTGGTATGCATTTTGTATGTTTTTGTGTTTGATTTCATTGTCAGGTGTGTGATTAAATAATTTAGTGAATGCATTAAGGCTATAATGAAATCAGAATGGTAATTAGGCTATGATGAAATCAGAATGGTAATTAGACTATGATGAAATCAGAATGGTAATTAGGCTATGATGAAATCAGAATGGTAATAGACTATGATGAAATCAGAATGGTAATTAGGCTATGATGAAATCAGAATGGTAATTAGGCTATGATGAAATCAGAATGGTAATTAGGCTATGATGAAATCAGAATGGTAATTAGACTATGATGAATCAGAACGGTAATTAGGCTATGATGAAATCAGAATGGTAATTAGGCTATGATGAAATCAGAATGGTAATTAGGCTATGATGAAATCAGAATGGTAATTAGGCTATGATGAAATCAGAATGGTAATTAGGCAATGATGAAATCAGAATGGTAATTAGGCTATGATGAAATCAGAATGGTAATTAGGCTATGATGAAATCAGAATGGTAATTAGGCAATGATGAAATCAGAATGGTAATTAGGCTATGATGAAATCAGAATGGTAATTAGGCAATGATGAAATCAGAATGGTAATTAGGCTATGATGAAATCAGAATGGTAATTAGGCTATGATGAAATCAGAATGGTAATTAAGCTATGATGAAATCAGAATGGTAATTAGACTATGATGAAATCAGAATGGTAATTAGGCTATGATGAAATCAGAATAGTATTAAGGCTTTGATAAAATCTGAGTGGTATTTGGGCTATGGAATTGGAATATGGGAAAAAAGCAAGCCAGTTTATCCTGAAATATTAATTGGGTAAAATGTCATTGTACTGTATGTAATACAGAACTGATTAGAGAATGCATACTAATTAATTTTAGTACCCTATTTTGATTTCAGTAAGATTAGTGGTTTGTCTGTGTACCTGCATGCTGGAGTTCATGCTTGTATGAAGATGGCTATTAGACAGTATAGATGATATGATGATATTGATAATAATTATAAACTAATTGAAATTTATTTTTGTATTTTCACATCAATGTGGAAAATCGTTCCCTTTACTTTCAAAAATAATAACTCTATAATCGTTGTGGTTATCATTGTGGATCTTGTATATAATCAATAACATGCTTGGTAGAAATTCAAATTATTCTGTTTTTTCTTCTAGTTTTTTATGAAACTTGTTATCTTTCGAAAGTCCTATTTTAGTGATTAAAAGTCAACATAAAATAACTAATGATTTTCTGGATGTTTATTTTCTTGGTTTTAATATTTTTTCTCGGTATACACAGAGTCAAGGGGTACATGAGTTCTCACTCACCTCCTCACAGCGTGCTCTGATATCCTCTATTGATGAAGGAGTGTTGTCCATCAGACGTGATGAGTCGACACTTGACAACGGTATGACTCTCCCTCACCTAGGAGATGATGCTGTAAGTATACATCATGTTGTATTTTATCATTTAAAAACAAAGGGCAGTGAAGCCTTGAATAACATAGAAAATTCTTATTTTTTAAAAAAAGTTAATAAGGTTGATTAAAGTAATAAGTTTGAATAACTTTGCATGTTTCAGGCATCTAAGAAATGGCGACAGAACCAGTTGGACCTGTCACGACAAAAGGTGAGCGCCCAGCTGGCCGCCATGAACGCAGCCACTGCCCAACTTGTGACACTTTCGGCCGGAGATGACGAACCAGATACTGACAATGTCAGTGCAGCTGTCGCTCAGATGTAAGTCAGCAAATTTCATTAGTTATGATTTCAGTTAATGTTAAGTTAAAGATTTGAAAGTGATTCAATATTCCAAACATCATTTTAGTTGAATCAAGACTTTAAGGTGTTTTTAAGACATATATAAAGAAGCTGAAACATTCATGGATTTGCTTTTTTCGTACAGTACATCCAACATGGGAGATTTCAGCCATGATGTTCGCATGGTTGCTGCTCTCCAGGATGATGATGATTCTAGGAACAGACTCCTTAATGCTGCTAAACAACTGGCAGGGGCCTTCACTGATTTACTAAACGCTGCACAACCTGGACCAAACTCTAAGGATGTAAGGGTTTCATTTCTCTACACAACACACAAAATACAGATCCTCAGTCTTAGTGTAGTCTTACAACAAGAAAAACGATTATGATTTAGAACAAGAAAAAATGAATTTACCTTTTGTTTATAGCATATAATTTGAATATTGTGGTCAAGTTACTTAAAGATCATCTTGTTGAATTTAATGACAATAACTCAGATGAGTTTATGTATCAAGTTCATTGTGTCTATTTATAGAAGTTTGTCAAACAATGATGTTTATATGCATGAGAATAAGGACATTAATTTCATACCTATATTTTCTAATTTTTAAAGATTTGACTTCACCAGAAAATCCACCTAACATGTTTTTAATTTATTTTGATTATTGTTTCTAGTCGAGACAGAACTTGATCACGGCAGCCAAGACCGTGGGAGAAGCCAGTCAGGAGGTGATGCAAGGTGTTGGAGAGACAGCCCTGGACATGGACAGACACTATCAGGTAACATTGATACTTACACAAGCAGCCAGTTGTTTAAAATAATTATTACAAGAAATATTGAGTGAAATTTGGAAAGTAACGTAACTTTTTGGTAACTTCAAAAATATAAAAACCCCGTTTGGTCCAGAGTTGAAATTTAATCCATATTATCAATGAATGTAAAGTCTTTAGCCAGAATTGACTTTGTTACTAGACTGTGTTTTACCTACTTTCCTGTTTCTCAGTCGTGAACCGTGCCTGGTAATAAGACCACCCATATATATTTCTATTCAGACCACAAATCCATGTTATTGTCCTGCAATAAGCCCACCCCATGACTTTGATTTCCTAGTTGACTTCTTGGCCTATTATAGGATAACTACAGTAAGTGATTGTCAGCTTAACTTGTGACAATGTTTGTTGCTAGGAAACCCTTTTGGCCTTGGCCAAGGCTGTTGCCAATGCTACTGCCCAGCTTGTACTAAAGGCCAAGAATGTGGCAAGTACAACAGAGGACCAGGCTCAGAGGGACAAGGTGATCAGCTCTGCCACAAGCTGTGCCCTGGCCACATCTCAACTTGTGTCGTGTACCAAGGTAAGGTCAATGGTGTCCACAGGAATTAATACTAAATCAATCAAATGACACAAGTTTCTCATTGTTCTAACTATTTCACCCTTTAATAGTATGTTAGTCCTATTTTTCTCTCATTGGCTCAAAGGCAGGATATCAGAAGTTCCACGATTTGTTGTCTTAGAAGATTAATGTTGGAAACCAGAAACTGATTTGTAGGGATGATAGGAACAGACTCTGTAAAGGATATTTAGAAATAGAAAAAGTGTTAATTACTGATAGTAAAAGTTTCAAAAGTCAACCCATCGTTAAGGTTTAAAATCTGCAACACTTACTTAACTGTTTCTTGCAGGTGGTGGCCCCTACAATCAGCAGTCCGGCTTGTCAGGAGCAACTCATAGATGCTGCCAAACAGGTGGCTCGTTCTGTGGAGGGGATCGTGGAGGCTGCTCAGCAGGCCTGTAAAGAGGACAAGCTGTTACAAGACCTGGGAGGTGCGGCTACAGCCGTCACTCAGGCGCTTACTGACATGTTAGAACACATCAAAAAAGGAGCAGGTCCAGCACAGGTAATCAGTGGGCGGGACTACTCAGCTTGGCTGAAAAAGCCTCCTGAATTTCTTGCTCTTGAACTTATTTATATAGGACTGTAAATCCTCACACTGTGGGAGAAAATCTGGACTTCTGTAATTCTTGGTTGTTAGACATCAACACATCAGACATAAGGAAAGAGGGTCAAATCTGAATCATGTTCTCACATACATTTTAGCTGTTTTCTCTTACATCTCTATCAAATCTGTTTGTTATTCATCAACACCAATTCTGTCTTGGTTGTTTCAGGCATCAGATTCCCATGAGGTTGCCGTGGATACTATTCTGACCGTAACTGACCGCCTCTTTAGTTCAGTTGGAGATGCCCATGAAATGGTGAAACAAGCACGACAGCTAGCCCAGGTAAGTCCTGCAGTTTCTATACTGTAACATAGGCCAGTACTAAAATTACTGACAGTAAATCACACTGGTTTACAGCATGTTAGTAATATCAGGACTTTGGCAGCATAGTTTTGATGATTGATCATTAAAAGTTGAAGTGATTATCAACACTAGATTTTGATACCTGTGATTATGCATATGCATCTCCATATTTGACCTCTGACCCAGGTCTATGACTCTCTACATTGCCCTCTGACAAAGGGCTATGACTGTCAATATTGATCTCTGACCCAGGTCTTTGACTCTCCATATTGACCTCTGACCCAGGTCTATGAATCTCCACATTAACCTCTGACCTAGGTCTTTGACTCTCCATGTTGACCTCTAACCCAGGTCTATGACTCTCAATATTGATCTCTGACCCAGGTCTTTGACTCTCCATGTTGACCTCTGACCCAGGTCTATGACTCTCCACATTAACCTCTGACCTAGGTCTATGACTCTGCATTGCCCCTGGTATATTCTATCAAAAAATTTTATAACACAACATCGTACTTTTACAGGCTACTTCTAATCTGGTGAACGCTATACGAGAACAAGCTGAAGGACATTCGGATACTGATACACAGAAACGACTCCTGGCCGCAGCAAAAGCATTGGCCGATGCTACAGCTAAGATGGTAGAGGCTGCCAAGGTATAGAATAACAAAACATTGATAGGTCATAGATATTTTCAACATTTTCATATATTAGATGGAAATCAAGGATTACACAAACAGAATTCTTGTCTGTCATTTCTGAAAATTCTTCAAAAACAAGAAATTTTTAAATCAGATTTCTTTTTGAAATTAAGAAAATTCATTGATTAACGAAAAAGGAAATATTTAATACTAAAACTATAAAAAAATATTAATACTTAAATGATTTCATGACAAGAATTTAAGTATAAATTTATTCATGACAGGGATGTGCCACGAACCCTAATGATGCTATGCAACAGCACGGTCTGAAGACGGCCGCTGAGGATTTACGGTCTGCCACCAATGTAGCTGCTAGCAATGCACTGAAGAAAAGAATTGTTATGAAACTTGAGGTAGGCACTACATTCTCATTTTCTTAATCATTGTCTTACCAAATAAGGAAAAACAGAAAACCTTTAAGTCCAGTTTAATTGATTGATATGGACATAATCACATTGATATATATTTCAGTACTTATCTTCACTGGTGATTCATAGATAAATCAGAAATGTTGAAATATTCCTGTTTTCAGCATGCTGCCAGGCAAGCTGCTACAGCTGCGACACAGCTGATCAACGCATCAACATCCGCAAACAAGTCAAACACCAATACCGTCTCGGAGCAACAGCTCACACAGTCCTGTAAGGTAAGGTCAAAGGTCAAAATGTAGATTATCAGAGTCAGTACTATTGTACAAAATTGACATTAATTTGAATATACTCACTTTTAATTTAAAATCATGTTTTAAGCCCTTAGTTCATCATTGAAACCACAGTCAGGGGATAACCCTATGAGATGTGCGAAATAGAGTTATCCCAGCCCTGGTAACTGAAGGATCGCTCTGTGAAGTATGTTAGAGAATGCTATCACTCTTTATTTCATTCATTGTAAATAAAGAATTATTTTACTATTTAGATACTCACTCTTTACTGATATTTCATGTCTGCAGGAGGTCAATGAACAGCTGCCCAGACTTGTTCAGGGATTTCAAGGCTCCGTAAAAAATACTGACAGTGCCTCCGCCCAACTTAACCTTATCAACGCTAGTCAGGATTTCATACAGGTAAAATTAACAGTGCTTGGCAGGATTAAGAAGAAACCAATAAGTTTAACATAGAATTTGATCATAGAAATCAAAGTTCTATAACTGTAGTACATACGCTGGACATATGAAATGATCCAATGATGGAAAATTCATACTGAAATATGATAAATAATCTTATAACGTAATTAAAAACTGTACAGTTTGATAGTAATTTCTCCTTACATAACAGCCTGCCAGTGGTCTGGTCTCCTCAGCCAATGCAGCGGCACCCACTGTCAGTGACCAGGCTTCAGCTCGTAATATGAACCAGAGCTGTAAGGCTATGTCCACAGCTTTGGCTGAGCTTCGGACAGCTGCAGCCAGGGCACAGGAAGCCTATGGCTCACTGGAGGTGGACAGTGCTCTTGACCATCTGGCCACACTGGACAAGGAACTAGAGGAGTATCGAAAGGCTGCTGAATCTGGTGGGCTTGTTCCTCTACCCGGGGAGACTGCAGAAACATCGGCACAAAAACTTGGAACAACGTCCAAGTCTGTCGGATCAGCCATGGCACAGCTTTTGACAGCCGCCTCACAGGTATGACTTCCGGGAAGACATTTTATACTGTTGTTGTGTAATAAGAAGTGAGATTTATAATGAAAAGCCAAACTACAAAATAATACATGGTACTTAATGGAATATGTCCTCAGTTAGTTTCACAAATTGATAGAAAAAACTGAAATTGATTGACCTTCATCCATTCTTTGCTATATAGTCTACGTCATTAAACTCTGATAAGTATATATGACCCATTTTTGAAATCTATTTTGAACAAGTCATCACTACCCAGATCAAACTTCCTACTAAAAGGAAAGTCGTCTTTCCTTGAAAAGACACTGTAGATAATGACCTAGCATTTTATCTTCCCATCAAGACTGACTGAATTGTTTTCAAAAAATTTTGAATGTGTTTCCTCCTGTACAGGGTAATGACAATTACGTTGGAATAGCGGCAAGAGACACGGCTAATGTGATGCGTGTGTTGACTGATGCCACGCGAGGTGTGGCTGCCACCACAGAGGACCGACAAGTACAGTTACTAGTCATTGACAGTGCACGGGGCGTGATAGATAAGTCAACACGATTACTGGAAGAAGCCAAAGTAGCTCTTAATAATCCTGACAACCCTGACAACCAAACTAGACTCAACCAGGTACGTTGGATAACTATCCAGTAAGCCCACCTCATGTATGAGTTTAATGCATAGTTATTTAATTTTGTTGGTCTAATATTTTACAGATTATCAGGGTTTGAAATTTTCACAGGTATAAAATTAAGCACGTTGTTCATTGTTTCCATTGCAAGGACATTCTCTTAGATTCTGTTCACTTTAAAGATATTTGCTGGATATTTAATTTCGTGCTGTTTTAAATGACAGCATATATAGCAAAATATAAAAACCTCATGAATATCACAATTTGTTTTTGATTAAGCCTGTAAAGGGTGAAACTGGTAGATGGTACTAAGTGAATAAAAAAGTCTACACTGATGCTGTTGTGATTGATATTAGGAAAGTGTTTAGTTATTACAGACCTAGGGTTGGTGTTTCTACTGAATCTCTTATAGAATGTGGCTTACTCACAGGCAAAGATATCACAGATAAAACAAAGGTTTTCAGTAATGATAAGGATACCATGTATTTAAACAACAAATTTTTCAGATTTATTTGAATGAAGAGCCATTAATTTTACAATGCTCTAAAAATGTTTCTGGGTTTGTTCTAAAGTGTTCTTATTTTAAAGCAGTACATAATTTCCCATTTTTCAGGAAAGAAGGTTTTCTTTTTTAAAGACCAATTTCTGATCCCAAATATTTTTTTAGCTTTCTAAGAATCTCAACTTCGGGATTATCTGTCTCTTTTAAAAAAAAGATTTATTTTCCGCAATTGTTTATTCTGATAAATGTTTTTTTGAAGGTCGCAAAGGCAGTATCAAATGCTCTCAATAATTGTGTAAGTTGTCTCCCTGGACAACGCGATGTCGACAATGCAGTCCGACACATCATGGAGTCGAGTCAAGCCTTGTCAACATCAGAGGTAGGTCAAGATTAAACACTTTCTGATTATAGAACAAATGGATATGACATGGGTAGTTTCAGTCCTTAATTTGCACTTGAATTCTAAAAAGTTTATTAAAAAATTCTGTAGATTTTTTCACCACAAGCCACTAATAATGTCTAATGTGTGCTCTAATTTTTAATTTGTTGCCTAATTTCATTTCATTGAAATTAAATGTCTTACTTAACCAGTTTCACATGCGTTGTGAGAAAAAGTAAATTTAAGTAATAGTTATGTTACTAAACATCTTTCAAAAATAAAAAAAAAAGAGATTCAAACTAAACACAAATGTAAAACTTTATCAGTTCATGGACTAAGTAGCTGTCACATACTCTAGATTTAAGGATCAATATCAGATTTTATATAAGAACTAGAACAATAGCTGGAAATGATTTTATGTCATAATGTTCCTAGGTCAAGGTCATGTTTACTCTGTATAGATTTGTCAAACATTGATTCTAATTACACACCTTGGAGAGACATTCAGACTTTTCTGGTTTTGTGTCAGCATTTCAATAGATATAAGGAGAACTCTATATGTTCTCCAACTCCTAATACAGAAGTTCTTACTACAATCATGTTCACGACTTTGGATGTTTCAGTACCCTACTACAACTAAGACTTTCCAAGAAGTTCAGTGTGATATGAACGATTCAGCTGTGAACCTGAACCAAGCTGCAAGCGACATTGTCACAGCGTCCCGTGATACAGCTCAGGAACTGGCCTCTTCTTCTAACAGATACAGTAGCACCTACCACACCTTTGTGCAGACAGGTAAGGTCGTCTTCAAGGTCAGGTTACACTTTCTCTGTCATTAAGTATTACTTCCTATAGATCACCAAACTTTACAGTCCTTGTTCATCATTTCCCAATAAAATGTATTTAATTCCATTAAAATTAAACGCAGTGTATTTATCTGATAGACTATTGTAGTTTACTGTAGACTACCAGTAGACTTTTGTAGTTTACTGTAGACTTATAGTAGACTATTGTAGTTTACTGTAGACTACTAGTAGACTTTTGTAGTTTACTGTAGACTTCTAGTAGACTATTGTAGTTTACTGTAGACTACTAGTAGACTTTTGTAGTTTACTGTAGACTACTAGTAGACTATTGTAGTTTACTGTAGACTACTAGTAGACTTTTGTAGTTTACTGTAGACTTCTAGTAGACTTTTGTAGTTTACTGTAGACTACTAGTAGACTTTTGTAGTTTACTGTAGACTTCTAGTAGACTATTATAGTTTACTGTAGACTTCTAGTAGACTTTTGTAGTTTACTGTAGACTACTAGTAGACTTTTGTAGTTTACTGTAGACTTCTAGTTAAGTGATTTAACTGCTGCAGTGAGTTAAGGGAAATATTTGTATACTTGCAGGACTAACAATGGCTGGCAAATCCAAGGACACAGAAACACAGTCACAGATTGTCGGAGGTTTGAAGAGTGTTTCCATGGTTTCAAGTAAACTTTTACTTGCTGCCAAATCTGTGCTCGCTGATCCTAATGCACCTAATGCCAAGAATCTGCTTCAGCAGGCTGCCAGGTAAATTAGAAGTTTGTAAAATTGTTCTTCAGCAGGCAGCTAGGTTAACAGGAAGTTTGTAAAATTGTTCTTCAGCAGGCTGCTAGGTTAACAGGAAGTTTGTAAAATTGTTCTGCAGTAGGCTTCTAGGTTAACAGGAAGTTTGTAAAATTGTTCTTCAGTAGGCTGCTAGGTTAACAGGAAGTTTGTAAAATTTTTCTTCAGCAGGCAGCTAGGTTAACAGGAAGTTTGTAAAATTGTTCTTCAGCAGGCAACTAGGTTAACAGGAAGTTTGTAAAATTGTTCCTCAGTAGGCTGCTAGGTTAACAGGAAGTTTGTAAAATTGTTCTTCAGCAGGCAACTAGGTTAACAGGAAGTTTGTAAAATTGTTCTTCAGCAGGCAACTAGGTTAACAGGAAGTTTGTAAAATTGTTCCTCAGTAGGCTGCTAGGTTAACAGGAAGTTTGTAAAATTGTTCTTCAGCAGGCTGCTAGGTTAACAGGAAGTTTGTAAAATTGTTCTGCAGTAGGCTTCTAGGTTAACAGGAAGTTTGTAAAATTGTTCTTCAGTAGGCTGCTAGGTTAACAGGAAGTTTGTAAAATTTTTCTTCAGCAGGCAGCTAGGTTAACAGGAAGTTTGTAAAATTGTTCTTCAGCAGGCAACTAGGTTAACAGGAAGTTTGTAAAATTGTTCCTCAGTAGGCTGCTAGGTTAACAGGAAGTTTGTAAAATTGTTCTTCAGCAGGCAACTAGGTTAACAGGAAGTTTGTAAAATTGTTCTTCAGCAGGCAACTAGGTTAACAGGAAGTTTGTAAAATTGTTCCTCAGTAGGCTGCTAGGTTAACAGGAAGTTTGTAAAATTGTTCCTCAGTAGGCTGCTAGGTTAACAGGAAGTTTGTAAAATTGTTCTGCAGTAGGCTTCTAGGTTAACAGGAAGTTTGTAAAATTGTTCTTCAGTAGGCTGCTAGGTTAACAGGAAGTTTGTAAAATTTTTCTTCAGCAGGCAGCTAGGTTAACAGGAAGTTTGTAAAATTGTTCTTCAGCAGGCAACTAGGTTAACAGGAAGTTTGTAAAATTGTTCCTCAGTAGGCTGCTAGGTTAACAGGAAGTTTGTAAAATTGTTCTTCAGCAGGCAACTAGGTTAACAGGAAGTTTGTAAAATTGTTCTTCAGCAGGCAACTAGGTTAACAGGAAGTTTGTAAAATTGTTCCTCAGTAGGCTGCTAGGTTAACAGGAAGTTTGTAAAATTGTTCCTCAGTAGGCTGCTAGGTTAACAGGAAGTTTGTAAAATTGTTCTTCAGCAGGCAACTAGGTTAACAGGAAGTTTGTAAAATTGTTCTTCAGCAGGCAACTAGGTTAACAGGAAGTTTGTAAAATTGTTCCTCAGTAGGCTGCTAGGTTAACAGGAAGTTTGTAAAATTGTTCCTCAGTAGGCTGCTAGGTTAACAGGAAGTTTGTAAAATTGTTCTGCAGTAGGCTTCTAGGTTAACAGGAAGTTTGTAAAATTGTTCTTCAGTAGGCTGCTAGGTTAACAGGAAGTTTGTAAAATTTTTCTTCAGCAGGCAGCTAGGTTAACAGGAAGTTTGTAAAATTGTTCTTCAGCAGGCAACTAGGTTAACAGGAAGTTTGTAAAATTGTTCCTCAGTAGGCTGCTAGGTTAACAGGAAGTTTGTAAAATTGTTCTTCAGCAGGCAACTAGGTTAACAGGAAGTTTGTAAAATTGTTCTTCAGCAGGCAACTAGGTTAACAGGAAGTTTGTAAAATTGTTCCTCAGTAGGCTGCTAGGTTAACAGGAAGTTTGTAAAATTGTTCCTCAGTAGGCTGCTAGGTTAACAGGAAGTTTGTAAAATTGTTCTTCAGCAGGCAACTAGGTTAACAGGAAGTTTGTAAAATTGTTCTTCAGCAGGCAACTAGGTTAACAGGAAGTTTGTAAAATTGTTCCTCAGTAGGCTGCTAGGTTAACAGGAAGTTTGTAAAATTTTTCCTCAGTAGGCTGCTAGGTTAACAGGAAGTTTGTAAAATTGTTCCTCAGTAGGCTGCTAGGTTAACAGGAAGTTTGTAAAATTGTTCCTCAGTAGGCTGCTAGGTTAACAGGAAGTTTGTAAAATTGTTCCTCAGTAGGCTGCTAGGTTAACAGGAAGTTTGTAAAATTGTTACCAAAACTTTTAAGAATCACAGATTGTATTCCTTTTGTTTGTGAAGAATTATGAAGGAATATTGAGATGTTATTTTCTGTTGACAGGTCAGTGACTGAGAGCATCAATCAACTCATTACCATTTGTACAGTATCTGCCCCAGGACAGAAGGAGTGTGACAATGCACTACGTCAGATCGAGGTACGCAAAACATTAATTATAAGGAAATCATGAGACAAGTTAAAGTGAATTCAATCTTTGATATAACTGCAGCCAAAACTTCAATTTTTTTTCTTCATCTTTCCAGTGATTTGAGTGTGGAATTAAAATAATACTGGATGGTTTGCCAACAACCTTATATTAGAGCTGTGTAATTTTCCACACTTGTACATTGTTACTCATACCTCCCAATTGTCTGTAATATACTTTATGATTCTGACCTCTGCCAGGTAATGAGGAGTCTGCTCGACAGTGCAAACGAACCAGTTTCTGATATGACCTATTTTGAGTGTCTAGAATCTGTCATGGAGAAGTCAAAGGTAAGAAGATCACTATGACCTAATTTGAGTGTACTGGCTAGTGCTTGACCTAGTTTTTCTTGTCACAGAAATCAGATACTGTATGTTGGAATATCTGTATAGCAGTGAAACTATTCATCCACCAACACCTCATAGTCGTAGCCAGAAATGGGTTTTTTAGAAAAAAAAAACCATGAACTTTTCAATTTAATCAAAACTTAATTTTAAATTCAAGTAAAACATGAGACAGAGGTAAGATGGACCAAGTAAAGTCTGTTAAACCACCAACATCTTCATAAGGTCTCAGTGTAGTGTATCTCAATGTGGTGTATCTCAATGTAGTGTTTCTCACCATCAATTTTCCCTATACAGGAAAATCTCAATAAAAAAGGAGGAAGATAAAATAGAATAGAATATAAAAGACGTGTGGTTTTATATATCAGTAATCAAATTTTTTTAAATAGTTTTATGAAAAAGTTCGGTTTTAAAGTTATACTAAAGTTGATGAATTTTTTGCAAAATTTTAGATTATTAAGAATTACACTTTATGAGGTATTTCAAGGTTCAATTTGTGTGTGACAGGAAACATTTAAAAGCATGTTTGATATTACTGTCAGATATCTATTTATATGATGACTGTGTGCCTGCTAGGTTATACCTAGAGACTTCTGGCTGTATTTGGGACATTGTAGCATGGTTATAAAAGGCACCGTTTCTTCTTTTTATAATGAGCTTGGGCAAATCTTCACATTTTACTAAATGCATTATTTATGGGATTAATCACTAAAAATTCCAAAATTTATTATTAATAAAAAATATTTATTTGTACAATGTAAACAAAGCTACACAAATATTTTTGTTTTGTTTATTCCTATGTAAAAATAAATTCATATTTGCTTTACACTCAACTATCAGCAACTAATACACAAATACAGATATACGAAGAGAGATGATGTATTCTATAGTATACAAATCACAGATGGAGAAATGATTGCTACCGAATTCTGTCTGTCAGCAGTACAAAATCTAAATTGGAGGCTTTTAATTATGAAGACATATCTATTCAAGTTAAGATAATATTTTATATACAAGACTTATTTGAAATTTATTAATATAGAAAACCAAATGACAGTCTATATATACATCTTTTTGTAAAGATTATCTTTCAGACATTCAAAATTAAAATCAGTGATCTGATGAGGTGTTTATATCAAATGTTGCCAGAAGACGTGGCATTCATAGGATTGTGAACATACTGTATATCTGAAATTAGTTGACATGAAGTATGAATTTGAAATTGAAAATATATATATATTTAAGAGAATTTGTAAACATTTCCACCAGTCTGAAGAACTGTCAAATTTGCCTGTGGGATTTATGTAAATGTATTGAACTTGCATTCAAAACAGCATGAATATTTAATAAAATCTGTTCAGTCACTGTTAGTGACATTCATAACAGCATGAATGTTAAAGAGCTCTGTTTATTCCCAGTAAGTGGCATTCAAAATAGCATGAATATTTAATAAAGTCTGTTCAATCCCTGTTAGTGGCATTCATAACAGTATGAATGTTAAAGAGCTCTGTTCATTTCCTGTGAGTGAAAAATAAACCAATTTCTGAAACTGCTGTATATCTGGCCTTGTTGAATCTTGCCATGTCTTGGATCTTTAGCAATGAAAACAAATATTTTTTGAATTTTTTTTAAAATCCTTATTTTAGCTGTTTTAAAATTTCTGATTTAGTTTTTTTGATAATTTTCAATTTTGTGATTTATTTTTATCTTATCTTACCATGAAGAACAAGGTAAACTATTTGCACCTGTTAAAAGTTGTATAACAGTAATTTATGTGTGTCTTGTTTCCCAGTACTTACCACAATATTTAAATTAATATACTTTTGAATATTCAAATTAATCTACTTTTAGATATTCATATTAATCTACTTTTAGATATTCAAATGATATTCGTAATCAGTAAGAGCTCAAGTCAAAATATTCCAGATTTTTACTTACATACCTATACAACCCAATCAATACATCAAGAAAAACAAATATGTCTATCATTATGATGTCTTCAATGACTTATGACTGGAAGCTATTAAAAGAGAACAGACGAAAATTGGGTTAAAAAATAAGCTGGAATAATGTATGAATTGAATTGTGTTTAAAGCCCATAAATGAGAATGTGTTACTATGTAGGTATTTTGACTTATGTTTGTAACTTTTCCTCTGAACTGCTTGAATGTAATACCTAACTTTTGTCTTGTGTGTGCATATTTGATTGGCTAATATTGTGTTCTGCTTTTTCATTTGCTAACACTCATTGTTGTACTCGAGCCTTCATCTGTGATGTGTATAGCATTTGAAGACTTTTCCAGGGGCATATATGGGTAACACTTTTAATTTTGTTTATCTCTTTTTGTTTGTTGTTTTTCTCTTTCGTTTTACACAAACATAAACTTTACATTGCAATTCCACTGTCCCCTACCAAAACCTCAAGATAATTGTAGCACAAATCACAAAACAGAATTTTAAATTACAAAACACTGAGTGAACTTTCAGCAATATTGTACTTATGAGCTTAGTAAAGTTTACACTTACAAATGAAGATCAATTAGTAATTTGCTTACTTTTGTTTAATTAGAAACAAAATATAAAAGAATCTTGAATTACTACATACTTTGAAGAAAACACTAGATGACACTATTTCTGTAATGACAATAAGGTACTACTATCACAGAGAGAAAATACTTACTCAGGAGTCAAGTTTGTAATCTTACAATCCGTTTACATGTGGAAATATTTTCTATTCCTACCCCTTGTCAGGCACCTACTTGTTTATCCCTTCATGTCCTCCTGGACCTACATTCCGTTATAGATCCCAAACAGATCCAGGTCCACTCCTTGATTCCTTATTTGGACTTGGGCTCCTTGCTGTCATTCTTGTTCTTGGTTCCGTTTTACGGGGTCATCCAGCTACCTCACATACGCGGACACACATAACTGCACACTTACATACACGGACACACATAACTGCACACTAACATACATGGACACACTTAACTGGACACTCGCATACACGGACACACATAACTGCACACCCTCATACATGGACACACTTAACTGCACACTCACATACACGGACACACTTAACTGGACACTCACATACACGGACACACTTAACTGCACACCCTCCTACACGGACACACTTAACTGCACACTCACATACACGGACACACTTAACTGCACACTCACATACATGAACACACTTAACTGCACACTCACATACATGGACACACTTAACTGCACCCTCACATACATGAACACACTTAACTGCACACTCACATACATGGACACACTTAACTGCACCCTCACATACACGGACACACTTAACTGCACACAGAACACTCAGTTCCTATCTAACCCCAGCATGAAAAAACTGAACTATTTCTTGTCTTGCATGAATTGTTTTTAAATATAAATTCTGTTTGATAACTTGAGGACAGATTTAAACAAGAATTTAACCCTTTTGTTGTGTTTATTTCTATCCATTTAAGTATTCCTGTAAATCTAACTACGAGAGGGCATACAGCCATTGTTTCAGTAACTTGGCTCTAATTTGGTAATGGTGAACTACAAACAATTTCAACTTCACTCATAATTATCTGATGAGTGATGTGATCATCATTTCTACAAACAAGTGTTTTGTTATTCCTTTGTTGATATCCTCAGTTATAATCTTTATCACTTAATTTGTCAGGCAACATGATATCTGCATGGACATTTTTATAGTAGTTCAAGAAAATTATTTTCTGTGTGAAGTGAAAGACTTATAGTGGTAGTCGTTTGACAAGCTTCTATAGTCCCTGTTAAACTTACTAATGTTCAATTTCTTTTTATTGTGTTAATTTCAAAAAAATTCCTGATTTGAAAATTATTTCACATTCATAGAATTTTGAAAATAATGTATTTAACTGTGTTTCTGTGATGTAACAGGCTCTCGGGGAAGCTATGACAGGAATTACAAACCATGCCAAGCAAGGTGAACTGGATGACTTCTGTGTAGCAGTGCATAACTTTGCTGGATCAGTGTGCGGCTTGACTGAGGCTTCATCTCAGGTAAAGGATATCAAAATCTTCCACCAGAAATCTGAGCTTTTTGTCTTAAGAAACAAACTATTTAACAAGAAATCTGGACCATAGATAAGATAATTATAGAATGAAGGGACAGAACTTTTAACAAGTATAAATGCTTTAGATAAGATTAGAGAAATAGAATTCGTAATTTGGCATATTGGAGATATGAAAGGTAAAGCAATTTATTGAATGGAAACACATTATGTAATTTTAATGCTGAGAGATGCTTTTATGGTGATATTCTGATTTCTTTTGATACAAGGATAAAATTTCTGTGAAAGAAAGAGACTTGCTGAACACTCTCTTTATTAATCTTCCTATTTTCTCTTTTAGGCTGCGTATCTGGTAGGAGTTTCTGATCCAAATTCAGAACCAGGACGACCTGGATTAGTTGATCAATCGCAGTTTGCTAGAGCTAATCAAGCCATTCAGTCTGCATGTTCAAATCTTGCCAATCCAGCTAGTTCGCAACAGCAGGTAACTATGACCTTTGACCTATGTGTTTTCTGTTAGGGAATGCTACAGCAGTTTAACACATGATTACTAAGCTTGGCTGCTGTTATTCTGTATTCTGCCAAACTGTTACATCAGCTTCAACTAGTGAATGTCACATTACACACCCAAATAGTTACCTCCCTTGGCAGGCTTACCTCCCTTGTATACATGTTGATAGATTTCACATGTGGTAGTTTTTGGGTTTCTTATGTAGCTAATGTTAGAAATGAGATATAAATGATTAGATAACAACACTCAGTCCATCAGATAAGGTATATTACATAGTGGCAGCCCAGTTATATGTCACTAAAATCTGTGGGGTGAAGGTGTTTGTAATGTACCATACCCTTTCACCTGTTATAGATTTCTGTGGTAACTTATGTATCATTTTAAGTTAAGTATAAGAAACTTTATTTGATCACAAGTAGATCAATCATCTTCATATTACTCTGATTTATGATGTCACTTTTTGCTGAATATAGATAAAAATAATGATGATAGATGCAATTCAAGTTTAATATCCATGTTTTTTATATTTTGAAAACAAATTTTTCATGAACTGAATCTTTTGTCTTTCTTCTTTTTTTCACCAAAGTACTATGCCCAATGGAATTGTAGGTCTTTGGTAGGTTACACTTTGACCTTCGACCTTTGACCTTATGCATTTGAATGTAACTATGGAGACTGTTGCCTTAGTTACCTGCCCATATTTAGATATGTATATATATATCTCTGTAGCCTCTGTGTCCGTTAGGCCGTGTGTCCAGTTGGTTTGATTTATTTGTGAAATTGACTTTAGTTACAAGTTTCTTGATGTGTTTGTAGCTTATTACTTCCACACTGTTACTATAGATATCTGTTTAGTTGGTTTAGTTGCCTTTTCACTTAAGTCTGTTTAGTTTAAATCCCTAACTCAATACATCACCACGTCCTACGCTTCAGTCACGAGGTTGATTTGTTCCTTAATTACTTCTTACAAAAAAACAGAAGATGAAATGTATATTCATTAAATTTTACAACCTAATGTAACAAAGTGTCTGAACTTTCAAGAAAAAGAAGATAAATAAATAGCGATTATAGCATACAGTGTGTTAACTGAAACATTTTTCTTATTTTGTGTTTTGATATCCGATATTTTCATTTTATTATTTCAATAGAAGATGTTACATACTTTCCTTCAGATTAAGGATAAAAAGACTTATTTCACCGTTGTAGGTTTTTATCTTACTTATAACTTCTATGGGTCTAGCTAGCTCAACAGTCTCCAGGATTTGCTTCAAAAGATGCTTCAGTTTTAATTAAAAAAACGGAATTATTACAGACTAATTAAAAACTGTTTTGATAATTCTGTGTGAAATCAAATACAAACAGCATGTATTTGCCAATCTGTGATGATCTCACATTTTTTTCTGAAATAATAGAATTAACAACTTGTTAACTTTTAAGGGTTAATTTTTTTGTTCCTAAGAAGCTGCATGGTTTTGGGTACATTGATAATATTGTGATTATAACAAATGAAAATTTCATCAGTGATGTTTAAATAATTTGTCTATTGGTGCTGTTTATCAGAAACAAGATATCACCAAATGCTTTGCCTGTGAGGAATATATGAGTGTATACTTCATACACGTATCTACTCGGGAATAACAGGCGTTACAGGCACACTTCTTATTGTGTGATATTTAGATCATTGTATGGCATAAACAGCTTAGATATTCTCATGAATTGAATCTGATGACAACACTGGACAAGTCAACCTCACTTCAATCACCCTTGTTTGTACCACTGAGAATGTCTTGGCAAATATTTCATAAAACTCAAGGAATTTTTTTAATCATATCAGAAAATTTGCTAAGAAGTATTCGCCATATATGCTCTTTTAAGCTGACTCACCTTATCTGTATATATGCTTGACCTACTGACTCAAAGTGGATTTGTCCATTTTGACTAGTAGGGGTGTTTTTTTTTTCTCAGTCAAGTGTTTTTCCATGTTTTTATTTATTATAGAGAATTTCACACGTCTTCCCTATTTTGTGTCACAACCTAAACTCCCAGGCACTTCCTAAGTGTTAAGATTTTATTTTTTTACACAATTTTAATATTTTCATTTTCTCGTGTTTTCCCTCTTCAAGCAACAATGGGAGACAGTTGTGAAATTCTATTTTGATTATTATTCATTATCAAATGACAAGTCTGTATCATTGGTTGAATGGATATTGACCAATGACAAGTCTTGTATCAAAGGTTAGATATGTATTGACCAATGGCAGGTCTTGTATCAATGATTGAATATAAATTGACCAATGACATGTCTTGTATCAAAGGTTGAATATATAATGACTAATGACAAGTCTTGTACTGTAATGAGGTAGATCAGTGGTCTTGTTTGATAAGCAGTACAGGAATTGACCAATCACATATACTCTATCATGTATTTCACCAGTGAAAAGTCATGTTACATTTGATTCTAGCTTCCAGCATGCCACGGAGAGGAAATAGAGGATATGAGTAGAAAGTCAAAATCACATTCAATGTGCTGCAATACTCATGGTGTAAGACCAAGCATTTATATAACATTGTATCTGATTGGTTGATTTCTCTTATCTATTAATCAGTTATCCCTTCAAATTTCTATCAATTTTTTAAACATAATTCAAAACAAAAAGAAAAACAAAAAAATGTAGGTGTGATTTTTTTTTCTATTTTTTGGGTTTTTTTTTCACATTTATTGAATTTGTTTTTGAAAAATTGACAAAAATAATATATGTAACTGTTATTTTGAATATTCTAGAGACTGTTTCCACAATAAAGATGTCTAAAATTAGATTTCTGTTGTTATGACAATGACCTGGGTTTTACAGCACAATGAATTGACATGTATAACAATCAAATATACTGTTCCCACCCTCTATATTATATCTGTGTACAAATCTATTGTTCATTTTAAAGTGTAGAGTATGGAATCATTAGGAAATTTGTATTAAGGTCATTTACAATAAATAAATAAATAAATAAATAAATAGATAAATATACAGTAGAGGAAATAAACTAATATTGATCTTCAAAGTTACGATAAAATGTACGGAACAGTGTTGGAAATCTGTTCCACGGCTATTTATTTTGTAACATTTGATCTCATTTTTGGTATTCTATAAAAAAGATTTTAAGTGAATATGGACAATAAAAATTCTTGTAAAGAATGTTATAATCCAGGAAGTTCATTGATCAACGGGCTTTAGTTCCTTTTGATGGAAGAAGTTTTAAATCAAACTTATCAAGAGTTATTCAAAACCTTTCATCTCTCAAATGATAAAAAACCAGTGTAAGTGAATAAGGCAGTACCAGTATGCCAGGTTTTACTAAATTATATATCTGTGTTTATACTGAGCAGAACCTGAACATGAAGAGTATGGTATTGTGATAGTGAGTTTATAACATGTTAATCACTGATATCACAAAGCATACACAGGTGTATATGGAAAGTGTAGAAAATTTAGTAAACCTGTATCTATGTATGGACCCATATCTGGAAATATACTACAGGTATTCACCATGTATTATGATTATGCATGAACCAGGGACACATGCCTGACACTTCATTTGTATGGCTGAAACAGTTTTTAATTACTTTGATCTTTTCATCAAATTTCAAATTTTCAATCACAGATGATTGTTTTGGGTTGAAAAAAAAATTGAGGCCATAAAGGGATGAGATAGAGTGGGATGGTTAAGGGGATGTAACATACTTGTAAAATGGGAGAAAATTATGTTCCAGCCAAACAAAGGAAGGTGACTTGTATCAGTCAGGTATTTAGTTAAGTATTTTTTACAACACATATGTAATGGTAAAGAGTCATCAATGTTGAGTGATTTTAACAAAAGTTTTAAGTTTTATTTTCATTGACTATAAAACTCTCATGTGTATATTGAGTAATACATGATTTTTATTATCTTGCGTGGATAAACATTGATAAAATTTCAAACTGGATTGAAATGATTATACATAACTTATATTTCATTTATAAAAAGCACATATTTAACACTTTATTTTTTTCAAGTTTCTAAAGGTTAAGATAAACGCACTCTTTCACACGACATCTTTCCTTTGTATGACACAAATCTGACATATTTGATTTTATTTTCAGAAAGAAACTTTTATTTCATGTACTTATTTACATTTTTTTTCTTCTTATACTAGTATTTAAAAAACAAGTATTTTGAAAATTAAACACCTGTTTAGAAAGTCTACAGCTTTATTGATGATTGTAACTAAGTTATTTTATATGTGATGACCTGGAATGTGATATTTCAGTGAAATTTCTAGATTTCATAATATCAGCAATTTAAAAGGAATTGAGACAGAAAAAAACTTTTTATTGTGTTTGACAAATGCATTAAAAAAATTACATGTTTTTTTAATGATAAGGTTTTAAGGTAAAGTAAATTATATAATTGTTTCTTGTAATTATAAAAAAAATGGAAAAAGTAAGATAAATACAACTGATTCAGTGATTATTTTCTAATTCGGACAGTACTGTAAAGAAGTTGATCTAGTCATCTTGTATGGTGAAGGTATCAGACTGCTGGGAAAACATGTTGGGATATTGGTTAAAAAAACCCTTATTTGATAGAGCATCAGATCTAAACTCTGATATGACAAAAGACAATATTAGTAATTTGACAGAAAATATTCAATTTTCTTCCTGACATAGGTTCTCTCTGCTGCTACTATTGTCGCCAAACACACCTCAGCTCTGTGTAACGCCTGTCGCCTGGCATCATCAAAAACGTCCAATCCTGTTGCTAAGCGACATTTCGTGCAGAGTGCCAAGGATGTAGCCAACAGCACGGCCAATCTTGTAAAAGCCATCAAGGTAAGATCACTTTGTATTTGACATTTTTACTGCTTTCTTTTGAATATGGTCTAATTTTTGAGAAAGTCACGAATACATTGGATATCTGGCAATAAGCCATTTTGTGTGAATAAGCCCATCCCTTTATTTACACAGTAGCTCAGTTGGTTACAGCGTTGTCTTACATCATCTGAAGTGAAGGTCCAAGGTGTGTAATTCAACGCTCCGTACCCACAGAGATGTGTGTTTCTCTGGCAGCTGTGAAACAGACCAGTCACAGTTGTGAACTTGGACACTTTACCACCATTGCTCTGAATGCATAACACAGGCTTCTTATATGTTGTTCAGTGAGGTCGCCACCAGACATACAAGGAATGCCTCAAAAAAACTTTGGCTGTTCACAGAGTGTTAAACTCACCCAATAAACATTAACTAGACCAATGCTATATTATGTTGCTGTAATAAGCCCACCCCCTGACCTGTCAGCCTCCTTCTGACATGTAACAAATTAATTACCATGATCACGTCCAATTAAAACAGGTAATTACAAGGTAGCAGTTATAAAAAGTCTTTCTTAGTAAACATAACAAGAACTGGCCGCTATTTCACTGTCTTTCTAATTTCAGGCTTTAGATTCAGAATTCACAGAGGAAAACAGGGAAAGATGTGCTGAAGCTGCCAAACCTCTCATTGAAGCAGTCGATGAACTCACGAAATTTGCCTCATCCCCTGAATTTGCCAGTGTGCCAGCAAAGATCAGTCCACAGGTAGGTATCAAGCTTTCAACCCTACAAAAATCTATAGACTTGCCAGGATTACAAGATGGAAGAGTCCACAAGGGTGATTTAGGGACAGATGTCAACCATCAGATTCATAATTATTGATAAGGATTGAAGTTAATTTAATAATTGATCCTGGCTGTTGATAGAATTTGACATAACAGATTTAATGTTTTCAAATTTATTATACTGTATAATTTGTTATATACTCGGGCGATTCAATTTTTTCTATATTCACAGTTGTTGAAGATAATGCAAAATCAAATACACAGCAGATATCTGAAACCGTGATATGATAATAATTATGTAAAAGTAACAATCTGAAATGTTTGATGACAGAACTCATTTCACTGCAGGCACCATACTGTGTTCTGTTATTGTTAGAAGTATGAATATAAAAATATCCAACTCAAAAGTAGGGTGTTTCATTAAAGTTTCTAGGAAATCTCACAAATCTCTGATATTTACAGGCTAAGAAGGCACAAGAGCCAATCACATCAGCAGGCAAGGCAATGATTTCTGGGGCATGCAGTATGGTACAAGCTGCCAAGCAGCTGGCTGTCAACCCGAAGGACCCGCCCACATACCAACTCTACTCCAACTACTCCAAGAGTGTATCAGATGCCATCAAAAAACTTGTGGCCTCCATCAGGTGAGTGGGTCTTAATGTCACAACAAATATATTAAACGAAAAAGAAAGAACAGTAAAATTGAACCTCAGGGAGAAAAATTTTCAACTTTAGTGGAACAATCTCAATTTTAAATCAGACTTCAAATAGAAAACACTGAATTTGAATTTTAGGGAGAAGGTACAGTTTGAAATTCATTTGAAATAAAAAATCAGATGTCTAACAAAGGTTTATATGCAAGCTACAGTGACATTGTTTGTGTACAGGGATAGTGCCCCAGGACAACGCGAGTGTGATGATTCTGCAGAGAAACTTAGCCACTCTATCCGCACACTGGACCAGGCCGCCTTATCTGCAATTAATCAGAGTCTCCAGCAACGCCATGATAAATCTCTCAAGGTCAGTATCCCGGGGTCATAAATTAGAGTCTACCATGGCCATCTCTCAAGGTCAGTATACCGGGGTCATAAATTAGAGTCTACAATGGCCATCTCTCAAGGTCAGTATCCCGGGGTCATAAATTAGAGTCTACCATGGCCATCTCTCACGGTCAGTATCCAGGGGTCATAAATTAGAGTCTACAATGGCCATCTCTCAAGGTCATTGCCCAAATATCATACTTAATATTATCTGGCAAAATATGCTACTTACAGTACATTGAAAAAATCTTAAAAATGACTTATTTTCCTATTGTGAAACAATGATAAAAGTGATATTGCTGGATGGTATTCTGTGGTATTCATGACACAATGGTAAGTGATGTGAAGGATTGAGAATGTTAATGTACCCCGTCTAGATGATAAGGTAGATGAGGTTTGGGTGGAGAGTTTATACAGATTGATCATATTTACAGGCGTTCCAGGAACAGATGATCAGTAGTGCCCGACAAATACAGGAACAGATTGACCAAGTTCGGGTCTCCGCCAAGGAGGAGCCAGAAAACCTCGGACACAGGGTAAGTTAATGCTACAGGACAAATATTTCTGAAGAAGTTGGAGGAATTAGAAAAAGAGAAGAGAGGGAAAAATTGAAGATAAATAGATATAGAATTTCATAAATTCCTAGGATTTTTATCACAATATGTCTCTGTTCCTTAGACCTATTGGTCAATATAGAATAATTTAATAGATAACTCTGTTTAGAAGATTATGATAAAGAGAATTTGAAAATGATGAAGTCTTCCCCTGTTAATCTCGGGGTTAGAGATGTGATGTATAATATATCTGTACACAGGTAACAGTGATGGCCAGCTATTTTGATCCACTTGCTGATGGAGCAGTAGGTGTGGCATCTCTGGTAACCAACTCTAAACAACAGACCCAAATTATTGACTTAACTAAAACAGTGGCCGAGTCAACACTTCAATTTGTCTTTTCCTGTAAAGAAGGGGGAGGCAACCCAAAGGTAAAAATATGTCTAGCTTTGAAAATTTACTACAAATCTTAATTTGATCAGAGATATAAAATAGGAAAAAAGCTCATTGGAAATCATTTTATTTTTGACAATTTCAAGGTAATGGTTAATATTATTCCTTCCAAACTTTATTACATTAACGAGGATTGGAAGTCAACATTAAATTTCTGTTTCTCCCAGGCCGTCCACACACATCAGAATATTGACACTGCTGCTGAGAACACCAAGGACGTCCTCCAGGACCTGCTACAGTCCCTAGAGGAGGCTGCCTCACAGGCAGGCATGGTCAACAGTATGATTGAGAAAATCAACAAGTCTATCTCACGGGTAGGAATAACTGCTTTTATGGAGTTGTCTCCCTTTAGGAATTTCTGCCAATTTTTGTAGTTTTAATCAATTTTATGTAAATGCATAGTCAGGAAAAAATAGAATCCATCTTCTAGGTAGGAGAAGCCAGCCTTGATATGGAGTTGTCCCCCTTGGTGTAGGGCTCTCTAACCCTTACTGTAGTTTTTATCCATTTAGTGTAAAAACTTATGAAAGGAAAAACAAACTGTGCCACACAGAATGAGAGAGAACTATCTAGAGATTGTCAGAGGGATACTACATTATATGAAAATATAGTTTTAAGGATGTTGTAGACAATTTCATCTTTAAAAATGGACAAAGATCCTTTGTTAACACATTCTTAATATATCATATGATATCACCTTAATGTAACCATCAGTACACTTTGTAGAAAGGTTTTTTATCTGGAACAAAGTAACTGTTGGTATACATTGTAGAAAGATGTGTTATCTGGAACAAAGTAACTGTTGGTATACATTGTAGAAAGATGTATTATCTGGAACAAAGTAACTGTTGGTATACATTGTAGAAAGATGTGTTATCTGGAGATTTGATTTCCTTTGAATGTTTTAGACTGACGAAAGAGTGAGCACTCAAGAAGACCGAAGTTATGTAGATTATCAAACCAACATGGTACGCCTGGCCAAAAATATTGCCATGACAACCCAGGACATGGTTGCCAAATCAACTACAAGTGTGTCAGAGCTAGGAGGATTAGCCAATCAGCTGACTCGAGACTACGATCTTCTCGCCAACGACTCCCGAGGAGCTGCAGCATCAACAGCCAGTAGTGATGTAAGATATATTAGGTCACAGTGATTCTAACTTTAACAGTGGAAATTCTTGTCTGTGATCAAAGTTTGTGATTCCCTCGCGTTATTTGTGAGCTCAGGTTGTAGCACTTGTATTATTTGTGAGCTCAGGTTGTAGCACTCGCGTTATTTGTGAGCTCAGGTTGTAGCATTCGTGTCATTTGTGAGCTCAGGTTGTAGCACTCGTGTTATTTGTGAGCTCAGGTTGTAGCACTCACGTTATTTTTGAGCTCGGGTTGTAGCACTCGCGTTATTTTTGAGCTCGGGTTGTAGCGCTCATGTTATTTGTGAGCTCGGGTTGTAGCGCTCGCGTTATTTGTGAGCTCAGGTTGTAGCACTCGCGTTATTTGTGAGCTCAGGTTGTAGCACTCGTGTCATTTGTGAGCTCAGGTTGTAGCACTCGCGTTATTTGTGAGCTAAGGTTGTAGCACTCGCGTTATTTGTGAGCTCGGGTTGTAGCACTCGCGTTATTTGTGAGCTCGGGTTGTAGCACTCGCGTTATTTGTGAGCTCGGGTTGTAGCGCTCGCGTTATTTGTGAGCTCGGGTTGTAGCGCTCGCGTTATTTGTGAGCTCGGGTTGTAGCGCTCGCGTTATTTGTGAGCTCGGGTTGTAGCACTCGTGTTATTTGTGAGCTCAGGTTGTAGCACTCACGTTATTTGTGAGCTCAGGTTGTAGCACTCGTGTTATTTGTGAGCTCAGGTTGTAGCACTCGTGTTATTTGTGAGCTCAGGTTGTAGCACTCGCGTTATTTGTGAGCTCAGGTTGTAGCACTCGCGTTATTTGTGAGCTCAGGTTGTAGCCCTCATGCCTCATCATGCCATGATGTATCTGATTATTTGATGGTAATTCTGGAAGTAAAAGTATAAACTACAGATAAAATTACTGATTTTGTGCCTGTTATTTTAGTGAGGTTTCCTGATCTCTTCAGAAATAATATTATATCTTGAGAACCTCTCAAACGATTTGTTCATATTTATCTCAAGATATCATAACATCATGTTCTACACCTGATCAGATTCTGGTTCACACTTACCCTATAGCACCATAACATCATGTTCTACATCTGATCAGATTCTGGATCACACTTACCCTATAGTATCATAACATCATGTTATACACCTGATCAGATTCTGGTTCATACTTACCCTATAGTATCATAACATCATGTTCTACACCTGATCAGATTCTGGTTCACACTTACCCTATAGTATCATAACATCATGTTCTACACCTGATCAGATTCTGGTTCACACTTACCCTATAGTATCATAACATCATGTTCTACACCTGATCAGATTCTGGTTCACACTTACCCTATAGTATCATAACATCATGTTCTACACCTGATCAGATTCTGGTTCACACTTACCCTATAGTATCATAACATCATGTTCTACACCTGATCAGATTCTGGTTCACACTTACCCTATAGTATCATAACATCATGTTCTACACCTGATCAGATTCTGGTTCACACTTACCCTATAGCACCATAACATCATGTTCTACATCTGACATTTGATCAGATTCTTGTAGTAGTAGTAGTAGTAGGGCATTCTTGTTGTACAGAAATATTTGTCTTATGTTTCCAAAATTAATGTTTATTAATGATAAAGCACTCCTAACGGAATAGCAATATCATAGGAGCCATGATTTCTGTCCAACAGAAACCTCCTCACTGTTTGGAAAACTCCACTTGCGTAACCAGAAACATATCATCACTCTTTGTTAAGTGGTATATTAGTCTGAATACTAAAAATCATTTTGGATACTTCAGTTATGAGAATGATTAAGTCTTTAATGTTATTATCTTAAATGTGAATTTTGTTACAGGTTGCCAATAGAATTAGGACAACAGTACAGGACCTTGGTAAATGTTGTATAGAGTTAGTACAAGACGCAGGTAACTTACAGAGTAATCCCTCGGACACCTTCGCACGACGTGACCTTGCTGACCACGCTAGAAGTGTTAATGAAAAGGTAAAACTTATTTGAAATAATAAAATGATCACCATTTGTCCTAAGGTTTCATATTAAAGCAGGATTTGTCAATCAAATGATATATAAAGGATGTTCAGTTCTATTGGACTGGAGACACCTTGTTAGATTTCCATTTAGGCTTTGCAATTTTTTTGGTAGCCAACAATAGAGTATGTAATTTTTACCCAATTCCTAGTTGTACTTCCTGTTTGATATTCCCCATGATTCCAGGTATCCTTCCTATTAGCTTCCTTCCCATTCAGATCACATGGCACAAAGTCCTTTTAACCTTATTCCCAGGTGTACTTGCTGTTTGATATTTACTAAAATAACTCCCTATGATTTTAGGTATCCTTCCTATTAGCCTCCCTCCAAGCTGGATCTCGCGGTACACAGGCCTGTATTAATGCTGCCAGCACTGTGAGTGGTATCATTGCTGACCTTGATACGACAATTATGTTCGCCACAGCTGGAACATTAAACTCTGACAGCGCCGATTCCTTTGCAGATCACAGGTAGATAAAGAGAAATATTGAATATAAAATTTGTAAACCTCTTTCTTTAGTTTCAGACAGAACATTGATAGGGTGTTTTTAACATCTTCAACATGACATCTTCATCACAAAAGATCTTATTCTGTCCATGTGTTCAAACATTTTTGTGATTATGGCTTTGGAATTTGAAATCAGGTTTCAGCTTACATATTGTATAGTTTTGTTTAAAATAAAAACCACTTGAATGCTTGTAGGGAAAACATCCTAAAGACCGCCAAGGCTTTAGTAGAAGATACCAAAACGCTTGTTGCTGGCGCTGCCTCAAATCAAGAACAATTGGCTGGTGCCGCTCAGATGGCAGTGAAAACAATCACACGATTGGCTGATGTTGTCAAGTTTGGTGCGGCCTCTTTAGGATCTGACCAACCTGATGCCCAGGTAGTACTTACAGAGATTGATGAAGTTACATGAGGTGTTAGAAATAATTCAGAATATTTAACTTATAGTGGCAGCAAATGTTAGCGACGTTGAATGAAAATTCTTTTTATTTTTCATAAAACTTTCAGTAGCAAAGATAAAAGGCAAATGTATAGAAACTTGGTGTGAAGGTTTATCATGATAGAAGATTTTGTCTTTATAGATAAGAATGAATATTTCTGTTTGATTGAAAAGCAATAGGATTGTATGTCTATAGATGTACCCTACATAAATTCTCAATACCTTTCATGTACCTGTAAATCATAGGTCCTTTATGTACCTGTAAATCATAGGTCCTTTATGTACCTGTCAATCCTTCATGTACCTGTAAATCATAGGTCCTTTTTGTACCTGTAAATCATAGGTCCTTTATGTACCTGTAAATCATAGGTCTTTTATGTACCTGTAAATCATAGGTCCTTTATGTACCTGTAAATCATAGGTCTTTTATGTACCTGTCAATCCTTCATGTACCTGTAAATCATAGGTCCTTTTTGTACCTGTAAATCATAGGTCCTTTATGTACCTGTACCTGTAAATCATAGGTCTTTTATGTACCTGTAAATCATAGGTCTTTTATGTACCTGTAAATCATAGGTCCTTTTTGTACCTGTAAATCATAGGTCCTTTATGTACCTCTCAATCATAAATCCTAGTTCACCGAGTTGTTTAAGAATTATTTACATACAATTAAATATTGTTTCTAGGTGATGATTATTAATGCTGTGAAGGACGTAGCGTCAGCCCTATCAGAACTGATCAGTGCGACAAAGAACGCGTCTGGTAAATCAGTCCAGGACCCTGCCATGTTTCACCTGAAAGAGTCTGCTAAGGTGTGTATCTATTTTTAGTCGCTGTTTTATCTATAAGCATGTCCAGCTGATTATTGAACTCTGTCTATCTATCTTTTCATTTTCTCATTGTCAAAAACTATCTTTCATTTTCTCATCTTTTTGTTTTTCCTTCGTTTTTTTTACCAGCTGCATTATAACCTAACTCTACGAACTCTGCATATTCATCAAGATTAATTATAGATGAAAAGTAAAATCTAAGAAATCAATTTTCGTATCAAATTTCTCCTGTAAAATCTTATTTTGAGAGTCAGGCTGTATTAAGTTATGATTAATTTTTGAGCATGTTGCCATGGAAACGCTGTCATGAAATCCATTTCCATGGAATCTCCTTTTTTTCAGGCTGGTATCATTTTAAATCCTATAAGTGATTACAGTTGGTTGTTTTGTAATCATACAATTATACACTATGTGCTGTGTTGCCTTTAAATTATATAGTGTATATTAATAATATAGATAATTTACATTTGACCTGATAAGGGCACCTTTGTTCTTGTAATTTGAACTGATAATAGACCTATTTTTGAAAGATGAATTTATATCCTTGAAATAACGAGATTTAGAATGAAAAAAATACATTAACTTGCATTCAGGAGGTAATTCAGAAGTCCATGGGAGATATTGGAACATGTGCCCTGATTAGGTACATAACTGTAGGTAGCTGTATACCATAGGAGTGATCATATATTTTATATACACAGGAAAATCACAGTGTGTTTAGAGAAACAAACGTGCATTGTAGTTTTACATTTCAGTGGAAAGTTCATTTTTGTAAAGTATCAATAGTTTTGTGCAGATTCCAGATTGACCAATAATAATAGACTTGACCTTGAAAGAAAATGTTAAGATTTCTTTCACTTTTTAAATCAATTAGAAAAAGGCAACGAATTATATTGTATCAATGACAGCAATTTAAACTTATTCTTTATGTATCACATAAGACCAGTGTTATTGACGATGGAAACATATTCCGAAGTGATGACTTTTTTATTTGTATATTTTTCAAGATGTCGTACAATTCTGATGTGTCGTGTTGCGAATTTTCTTGATTTTCAGAATGCAGATGATATCATTTCGTCTATTGCCGGCGGGTATCATGTTTACGTTTCTAGCATGCTCTGAGTGAGCCTGTAGAGCACCCAATGGCTGGAAACCTTTCGATTGGACGAAAATTTCATGCATCATCGTTGTCATAGTAACATTGCAACATCATCAATGTTGGAATCAAATTAATATTTTGTTTTTTTCTACATTGTGTACCTTATCATCCTTGTAATGTTTTCGGACAAAAACCATAACCATGGAAACGAGGTCTATTGACATGGTTGAATGACATGTTTCCATAGCAACCAAGTCACATGAGTTGACACAGTTTTCCTTTAGGGAAACGAATTGTGGCATATTTCTCATATATACCCAGTGTTTTTTTCTCGATATTTTGTGCCAATGTTTTTAATGGAATTGACATATCATACTGAAACAAAGGTCCCTGTTCAAGAGTGATGTCCTCTTGAAAACGTATCAAAATTATCATATTCTTTGTGTTAAGAGTTATATCCCCTTGAAAATGTATCCAAATTATGTTCTTTGCTTTAAGAGTTATGTCCCCCTTAAAATGTATCCAAAATTATATTCTGCGTGTTCAAGAGTTATGTTCCCTTGAAAATGTATCGAAATTATCATATTCTGTGTGTGAAAAAAAACAATTTTATATTATTTCTGAAGTTTTATTGTTTTTGATAAATAACAAAATAATTCAGTTCAGAACAAAAGTTCGGTGTTTGAATTTGATTATTTTCTGCATAGATTAAGAATGAAAAGATGTAGGAATGATTGTACAGGAGAACTGATGTTATTTATAAGGTTTATCATCATCGCTACTTTAGGAAAGTAATTTGGAAATTTGTGATAATACTTAGTTAATAAATATAAATAATGTTTCTCCATCTTTATAAGCATTATTTAAAATGTTGAGAGTTTCAAAAATGTTTGTATGGAAATTTCTCTCTTTATCAATAACTGGACAGGGACCTTTGTTTTTCTGCTACATGTTTTGTGATGTGAATCGCATGTGATCGGATGAGTATAAAGTTAGTCTATATATCAAATTAACATCATCTTATATATCAGTCATACAATGACATATTGCTTTACGCAACTTCTAAATACTACTTTTAACATTAGATTTACAAAAAGTAGTGATTTTTTTTCTATGAATGAAAAAAATTGAAATTCATTCTTTGAAAAATAATTTTACATAGGAAAAATATATTTTCCAAATTTGCACACACAGTAGTAGTAATCTTAGGCTAAATAGATACTGCTTTCTCAAATATGAATTATATATCTATCAAATATCTGATTTTAAAATTGTGATATTTTTACACATAATTTATTATCAAATAGAGATAGTGATATTCATAAAATCCAACCCAATTTTATACAGCCATCCTTTCAGTTGCTATTCGCAATGTTGTCTTATAATGTATTGATGTAGTACAACAATTGTTACTATGTGTGGACTTGTAATATATTTGGTGCAAACTTAGAAACTTGGGAATATAAAATCTGCGGATTGAAGAAAAAATACACTTGAGCTATTTCAGAATTTGTCATTATTTTACATCAAGTTCTAATTTGATACAATATCTACTAAAAAAAAATAGTCTTTTTAATTTTGCCCCCAAAAAATAACTGATAACTGAAATTTTTATTTTGAAAATTAAATTTAGATGGCACAATATTTATTTATATGTGCTGTTCATTAAAAATGGTCCCGTTCTTAAAATGCTTTGCAAGAGCATTTCTAGAAAATGATAAATTTATCAAAACCTGATTGAAAACTCAAATGCAAGATATATTCTTTGCCTCGTTATGTTTTTAATTATTGATGAATCTGTTACATTAGTTTGAGTATTTTATTTGTCAGTGCATATTCACATTAGATTCCTTAAAGATTATCTTGTTATAAAAAACTTCTCATACAAAGCTTTACTTCTTGAATTATAATCAAGCTTGTAATTAACAGAGTTCCTTCCCCTTTTTGTAAATCTTTGGTGTTGTTCAGTGTCATGAATTCCTTGCTTATGTTTCCTCTGTTTTGCCTCTGCATGGATTTTGATGTTCTATCATCATCTTCATTTGGTTTCTGTTGGCAACAGCTGGTAATTAATGGCTTCTGTTTTGGACTTAATAACTTCAGTATCACAGACAACAGTAATAGTAATACTACTTTTCAATTTGTCACCTTTGTCACGCCAAACAATAAATGGCAAAGCAGACAATCTGCATGATCTTTATCAAATATACATACCTGCCATTTAGGTAGAAATACTATTTATTTCTTTAGAGGGAATGGATATTCCTCCAGTAACTGTGTTTAAATCTTTACAGTGGTTTTATAAAGCAGACGAATATTACTGGATGTCCCTACATGTGGACATGGTTGTTCTCTTTGACAGCTCGTCTGTTGTAATAGTATAGGTGCAGTATGTGACAAGTTGTTTATTGTTTGACATAGGTCAAAGGTCACTGGAATTCTAATATTCATACATACAGTTCATTGTGATACTAGATAATTGTTTGTTCTTCTGTCTTCCTCTTGTGAGTGAAGTTTGTTTGTAGTAGTTACAAGATATCGTCTACAATATAGGCACAATAAAGATCATTTCTGATTTCTTGATAAAAATTAAGAATATTGTTTCTTTGTGTGATGATTTTTTAATATTTTATCTTTTTATTTGTCAAAACATTTTTATCCCTTCTTTTGTTTTTACATTCTGTATTTACATCCTTTAAAAAAAGAATTAATCTGTAGAAAATTGACCATTTATTATTCCTGATATCAGTATTCAAAGGAATTTTAAGATAAAACCAAACTTTTTAAAACAAGCCTGTAACAAACTAATTTTCAAAATATTTTAAGAACTATGTTGAATTGCACTGTGAGAAATAGAATACTAAACTAAGCAGAGACCTTTGGTGTATTCTGTAATGTTAATCCAGTAAGTATTGTTACCATTTTCTTTGTCTCCGTATTTTCATTGGTGAAATATTTCAATGTTTACTCTTCTACAAGTGTATTTTGAAGCTTTTGTCATTGACTGGTTAATTCAAGAACCCAGAATCAGATTTTATCCATTGGGAGGAATTCTGGATTTCAGAGTTTGTTAAAAGGTTAAGGTGATTTCAAGGTTAAGAGAGACTGATTTGAGAGAATTCTGGATGAGAGGAGGGCAGGGTTGAGAGAATTCTAGATAAGATATGGACTGGTTTAGGGTAATTTCTGGGTCAGAGAGAGACTGGTTTAGGGAGTATTCTTGAGAGGGCTGGTTTATATAGTTTTCACTATACAAATTTCTTTTTTTTTTATATGTACTTTCTAAAATGTATAGTAATTTCTAACTATAATATATATAACCTGGTTGTTCTCTGGACAATGAACCTGGCAAACAAACAATTATACACCCTGATAATACAAGAGGCATATTGTGTATCAATGTTTGTGTTTCTCTTTTAAGTTTTGTTTTATACCTTTTGTTATGGAATAGTTCTCAGAATGTTCCTTACAGAATAGTTATCGGAATATTCCTTATGGAATAGTTATCAGAATATTCCTTACAGAATAGTTATCAGAATATTCCTTATGGAATAGTTATCAGAATATTCCTTACAGAATAGTTATCAGAATATTCCTTACGGAATAGTTCTCAGAATATTCCTTACAGAATAGTTATCAGAATATTCCTTACAGAATAGTTATCAGAATATTCCTTACAGAATAGTTCTCAGAATATTCCTTTTGGAATAGTTATCAGAATATTCCTTTTGGAATAGTTCTCAGAATATTCCTTACAGGAATAGTTATCAGAATATTCCTCATGGAATAGTTATCAGAATATTCCTTATGGAATATTTATCAGAATATTCCTTACAGAATAGTTCTCAGAATATTCCTTATGGAATAGTTCTCAGAATATTCCTTATGGAATAGTTCTCAGAATATTCCTTACAGAATAGTTCTCAGAATATTCCTTATGGAATAGTTCTCAGAATATTCCTTATGGAATAGTTCTCAGAATATTCCCTACAGAATAGTCTTCTGAATATTTCTTACAGAATAGTTTGTCTGAATATTTGTTAGGGACACTCCATCAGAATATTTCCAATGGAATGGAAAAGTTTCTCAGAATATTCCAAGTAGGTGTAATGCATAATCATATTAAATCCCAAAAATCACTTTTTTTTAGATGTAATGTGTTGGTTCATTAGTACATTCAAGTATAATATGAACTAGGTGTTAGAGGTTAAGATGTAAGTGTATATTGTGTATATCAGTGTATATTATGTTGTCAAATAAATAGTTCTGTTGTTGTTGATGGGTCTCTTTGTTTATCTGGTCCTCGAGTTTCACAAACATTTCTAAAGGTCGACGGATTACATGTATCATTTTATAAGCCCACTCATATTTATAACTGTTCAGTAGAATTACAGATACTATTTCATTGTCCTGTAATAAGCCCACCTATATTTATAACTGTTCAGTAGAATTACAGATAGACATTATGTAATTATCCTGTAATAAGCCCACCCCTGACTTAGTTGGAGTTGAAGGGAAAATCTTAGGTAAGTTGGTAACATTTTTCTTGAGAAATTAGCGATTAATAAACAAGTAGAGGAATGTTTGTGAAATTGAGGCTTGTTGTAATGTAATACATATGTTTAATTTCTTAATGTAACAGAAAATATTACAGAGATGTGTTGGGTTTTTGTTTCTTTATCATTTAACATCCTTGATGTTATGATATGATAATGTATATGTAAGCTAGATATCTATATTACACATGACAATTGTGGAATCTCTCAACAGATTATTGTGGCCTGATTTCCTTACGTCAGCCATCACACCGGGCCTTATGTATCCTGCAGTAATTCCTTGCCTAGTACAGCTGTTCACACACCCTGCAATAAACCCACCCTTATCATTCAGTACAGGTTTCTTTGTGGGTCTCCTGGGTGTATTACAGGGAAAGTACAGTTTACACATGTAATGTAAATGATAGTAAATATAAATGACAGTAAAATTTTCACTGTAGAATATCTCCTTGAGAAAAGATTGTAGACTTCTTACCCTGGAGTAACATGGAAAAAGAAGTATTCTTAATATCAGGACTTTCTTTTTACCAACACAGCAACAAGGAGGAAGATTGATGGTTTTGAAGAGCTGCCGAAGAAAAGCAATTTACCTCATTATTGTATGATCTTTAATCTGTCTTGTCATTCTGTTTCCTATTTAAAATTTTAAATTATTATCATAAGATGTTACCATCATTAAGATTTATATGACAACAATTTTGTTGTTTCCTAAAAGGAATCTGTGACATTGCGAATTACACGGTCCATTGTTTTGTTGTCTAGGTGATGGTAACCAATGTGACATCACTCCTGAAGACGGTGAAGACAGTGGAAGATGAGGCTGCCAGAGGTACCCGTGCGCTGGAATCCACAATTGAAGCAATCGGACAAGAAATAAAGGTATGATGTTATATAGTACTGACCTCTGGTAGGAAATTTTTAACCAAATTAATATGAATGTTCAGAATTATTGGCTATAAATCATAGCATTATCTGGTCCATAGAACTTTACTTTGGTTCTAGTTTTCTTTGTTTTTCCATTGTTCTTTCACATGCGCATCCTCTATACATTAAGTTAGTTATCCCTATAAGCCCTCCTGTAAGTCCCCTAGTTATCCCTATAAGCCCTCCTGTAAGTCCCCTAGTTATCCCTATAAGCCCTCTTGTAAGTTCCCTAGTTATCCCTATAAGCCCTCCTGTAAGTCCCCTAGTTATCCCTATAAGCCCTCCTGTAAGTCCCCTAGTTATCCCTATAAGCCCTCCTGTAAGTCCCCTAGTTATCCCTATAAGCCCTCCTGTAAGTCCTCTAGTTATTTCTATAAGCCCTCCTGTAATTCCCTAGTTATCCCTATAAACCCCCCTGTAAGTCCCCTAGTTATCCCTATAAGCCCTCTTGTAAGTTCCCTAGTTATTCCTATAAGCCCTCCTGTAATTCCCTAGTTATCCCTATAAGCCCTCCTGTAAGTCCTCTAGTTATCCCTATAAGCCCTCCTGTAAGTCCTCTAGTTATCCCTATAAGCCCTCCTGTAATTCCCTAGTTATCCCTATAAGCCCTCCTGTAAGTCCCCTAGTTATCCCTATAAGCCCTCCTGTAAGTCCCCTAGTTATCCCAATAAGCCCTCCTGTAATTCCCTAGTTATCCCTATAAGCCCTCCTGTAAGTCCCCTAGTTATCCCTATAAGCCCTCCTGTAAGTCCCCTAGTTATCCCAATAAGCCCTCCTGTAAGTCCCTAGTTATCCCTATAAGCCCTCCTGTAAGTCCCCTAGTTATCCCTATAAGCCCTCCTGTAAGTCCCCTAGTTATCCCTATAAGCCCTCCTGTAATTCCCTAGTTATCCCTATAAGCCCTCCTGTAAGTCCCCTAGTTATCCCTATAAGCCCTCCTGTAATTCCCAGTTATTCCTATAAGCCCTCCTGTAATTCCCTAGTTATCCCTATAAGCCCTCCTGTAAGTCCCCTAGTTATCCCTATAAGCCCTCCTGTAAGTCCCCTAGTTATCCCTATAAGCCCTCCTGTAAGTCCCCTAGTTATCCCTATAAGCCCTCCTGTAATTCCCTAGTCCCTATAAGCTAGTTATCCCTATAAGCCCTCCTGTAATTCCCAGTTATTCCTATAAGCCCTCCTGTAAGTCCTCTAGTTATTTCTATAAGCCCTCCTGTAATTCCCTAGTTATCCCTATAAGCCCTCCTGTAAGTTCCCTAGTTATTCCTATAAGCCCTCCTGTAAGTCCTCTAGTTATTTCTATAAGCCCTCCTGTAATTCCCTAGTTATCCCTATAAGTCCTCTAGTTATCCCTATAAACCCTCCTGTAAGTCCTCTAGTTATTTCTATAAGCCCTCCTGTAAGTCCCCTAGTTATCCCTATAAGTCCTTCTGTAATTCCCTAGTTATCCCTATAAGCCCTCCTGTAATTCCCTAGTTATCCCTATAAGCCCTCCTGTAATTCCCTAGTTATCCCTATAAGCCCTCCTGTAAGTCCCTAGTTATTTCTATAAGCCCTCCTGTAATTCCCTAGTTATCCCTATAAGCCCTCCTGTAAGTCCCCTAGTTATTCCTATAAGTCCTCTAGTTATTCCTATAAGCCCTCCTGTAAGTCCTCTAGTTATTTCTATAAGCCCTCCTGTAATTCCCTAGTTATCCCTATAAGCCCACCTGTAATTCCCTAGTTATCCCTATAAGCCCTCCTGTAATTCCCTAGTTATCCCTATAAGCCCTCCTGTAAGTCCCCTAGTTATCCCTATAAGCCCTCCTGTAATTCCCTAGTTATCCCTAGTTATTTCTATAAGCCCTCCTGTAATTCCCTAGTTATCCCTATAAGCCCTCCTGTAAGTCCCCTAGTTATACCTATAAGTCCTCTAGTTATTCCTATAAGCCCTCCTGTAAGTCCTCTAGTTATTTCTATAAGCCCTCCTGTAATTCCCTAGTTATCCCTATAAGCCCACCTGTAATTCCCTAGTTATCCCTGTAATTCCCTAGTTATCCCTATAAGCCCTCCTGTAATTCCCTAGTTATCCCTATAAGCCCTCCTGTAAGTCCCTAGTTATCCCTATAAGCCCTCCTGTAAGTCCCCTAGTTATTCCTATAAGCCCTCCTGTAAGTCCCCTAGTTATTCCTATAAGTCCTCTAGTTATTCCTATAAGCCCTCCTGTAAGTCCTCTAGTTATCCCTATAAGCCCTCCTGTAAGTCCCCTAGTTATTCCTATAAGTCCTCTAGTTATTCCTATAAGCCCTCCTGTAAGTCCTCTAGTTATCCCTATAAGCCCTCCTGTAAGTCCCCTAGTTATCCCTATAAGCCCTCCTGTAAGTCCTCTAGTTATCCCTATAAGCCCTCCTGTAAGTTCCCTAGTTATTCCTATAAGCCCTCCTGTAAGTCCCCTAGTTATTCCTATAAGCCCTCCTGTAAGTCCCCTAGTTATTCCTATAAGTCCTCTAGTTATTCCTATAAGCCCTCCTGTAAGTCCTCTAGTTATTTCTATAAGCCCTCCTGTAAGTCCCCTAGTTATTCCTATAAGTCCTCTAAGTCCCTAGTTATCCCTATAAGCCCTCCTGTAAGTCCCCTAGTTATCCCTATAAGCCCTCCTGTAAGTCCCCTAGTTATCCCTATAAGCCCTCCTGTAAGTCCTCTAGTTATCCCTATAAGCCCTCCTGTAAGTCCCTAGTTATCCCTATAAGCCCTCCTGTAAGTCCCCTAGTTATTCCTATAAGCCCTCCTGTAAGTCCCCTAGTTATCCCTATAAGCCCTCCTGTAAGTCCCCTAGTTATCCCAATAAGCCCTCCTGTAATTCCCTAGTTATCCCTATAAGCCCTCCTGTAAGTCCCCTAGTTATCCCTATAAGCCCTCCTGTAAGTCCTCTAGTTATTTCTATAAGCCCTCCTGTAAGTCCCCTAGTTATCCCTATAAGCCCTCTTGTAAGTTCCCTAGTTATTCCTATAAGCCCTCCTGTAAATCCCCTAGTTATTCCTATAAGTCCTCTAGTTATTTCTATAAGCCCTCCTGTAAGTCCACTAGTTATTTCTATAAGCCCTCTTGTAAGTCCTCTAGTTATTTTCTTGAGCCCCCTATAAGTTGCTTTAACACTCATGATTAATCATTCCTGAGTATAGTAAACACAACAATTTCCATCATTAAACTATAGTTTGAGTGTTAAGAAATTAAATTTGCATCAGAACTTTGGTGCCACACAATGGAATTTCAACTTACTCTAAGTAATTATAACAATTTTTCACCTCTGATCTTCTTTCTAATTTAGACATATGATACAACAAATGAGCCAATGAAAAAAGCCACAGCAGAGGACCTTATAAGGATAACCAAACCAATCACCATGGCAACAGCCAAGGCTGTAGCAGCTGGTAACTCCTGTCGTCAAGAGGATGTTATACAGGCAGCAAACATTGGTCGGAGAGCTATCTTTGATCTTCTGGCCACTTGTAAGGTAAAACACAATCTAATTTATCTCCAGAGATTCATTATAAACACATGTATCCTGTGTGAAAAAATAATTAGAATTCCCTAATGTACAACCCCAGAATGGTGTACTGTAAGTGAATTAATTTTTGACATTGTGTGATAAGTTAGGGGAGGAATATATTCTATCTCCCCATAAAACCAGCACTATCTATATTTATTTCTCTCACATTATGAAAGTTTGAAGTATGCCTCTTGATTCATACATAAAATAAACGATATTAGATAATCATCATCTACTGCTTAACAATAACCTTGACCTTTAACAAATCTAAAGACCTTGACCTTTTTGTACATGTTTCTATTTCTTTAGGGAGCTGCTACTACAGCAGAGACAGCAGATATCCGTCACAGAACAATCATGACTGGGCGAAATGCAGCTTCATCTTACAACCAGCTTCTGGAGCAAGTCAATGTAGTACGTTGTTAGGCTGTAAAACCTACATTACTTTATCCTGGCCTAATTATTCTCCTCATATAAAGAGAATTAGTTGACCACAACAAGATGAAATGATTGTTTGATGTGTATTATGTAGACAAATTCTGTGTTGTGTTGTCATAGGTCCATGATCATTACATTCATGTTTAACTGGCCTGTTTGACACCACTATCTTTTCAGCCAACCATCATCAAACAGTCATCAAATTGCCCTTTATCTGTCAGTCAAATATCATCAGACAGTTATCAAATTGCCCTTTATCTGTCAGCCAGCCATGATAGTTATCAAATTGCCCTTTATCTGTCAGCCAGCCATCATTAGACAGGTATCAAATTGCCCTTTATCTGTCAGCCAACCATCATCAAACAGTCATCAAATTGCCCTTTATCTGTCAGTCAAATATCATCAGACAGTTATCAAATTGCCCTTTATCTGTCAGCCAGCCATGATAGTTATCAAATTGCCCTTTATCTGTCAGCCAACCATCATCAGACAGTTATCAAATTGCCCTTTATCTGTCAGCCAGCCATGACAGTTATCAAATTGCCCTTTATCTGTCAGCCAACCATCATCAGACAGTTATCAAATTGCCCTTTATCTGTCAGCCAGCCATGACAGTTATCAAATTGCCCTTTATCTGTCAGCCAACCATCATCAGACAGTTATCAAATTGCCCTTTATCTGTCAGCCAGCCATGATAGTTATCAAATTGCCCTTTATCTGTCAGCCAACCATCATCAGACAGTTATCAAATTGCCCTTTATCTGTCAGCCAGCCATGACAGTTATCAAATTGCCCTTTATCTGTCAGCCAGCCATCATCAAACAGTTATCAAATTGCCCTTTATCTGTCAGCCAGCCATGACAGTTATCAAATTGCCCTTTATCTGCCAGCCGTCCATTGTCTCGAAGTCCTTCAGAGGGATTTTCAAATTTCATATGCTTAAGAACAAAAACAAAGAAAATGAGAGAAAAGAGGGAAAAAGATCCAACTTTTAAAAAACAAATAAAGATCAAACAATCCTGGGTACTAAGATCTCTCTGGGATCTCATTTTCTGATGACTTTAGTAGGAATACGAATAAATGATAAATTATTTACACTAACCTCTAATAAGCCCATCCCTCTACACTTTTTTGTATCATTTGTAATCAAATGCTTCCATTTTGTTCTGTCAGATAATACAGAGGCCAACACCAGAGGGCAGGCAGTGCCTAGTGGAACTCTCAAGACAAGTGGCTAACTCCGTGTCAGAAATAGTCCAGACCGCTGAGGCAATCAAAGGTAGTAAAAATGTTCTTTTGACTGAAGGTCTCTCACAAAGTACACATTTTAAGATTAATTCAACTTTTCTCTTCATAAGTGAAGTGTTTAAATAAATTTTGAAATCTGAGAATTTGGAATATTGAAAAATTGAATAATCCCTTCAGCATGGTTACACCTAGAAGTTCTCTTCACCAGCCATCTGTGCCATGTACCTACACTTAAAGCCCTTGCCTTTTCATTTCTGATCTTGCCAAAATGATTCTGTCAACCCTGCACACTTGTCATTCTGACACCAATCTGAGATAAGTTACGTGTAATCAGTATTTTTGTTTGTAAATGTTCCTGTCTTTCATTATCTTTGTTTATCAAAACTGAATTTGTTATTTCCAAATATTGGGAGTACCCCTCTAGTATTGACCACTTGTATAAATATGCTACCAAACTATATAAATTCCCTCTCATTTGGAGGCCCTATCTAAAGAATGTAAATAATTTTACCAAACATGGTGATAATTTTATCTTTTGTCAATTAAACAGATTCAATAATTTCCAAATATGGTCATTTCTGTTTGTATTACCATATTTGGGTTGTTTTTCCTCCTCAGCATCACATGAAATCAGATGGTCGTATATCGTGCCAGGTAACTAAGGAATGTGTATAACCATTGTAGGCTATAGCAACCAATTTTTGCAAAGATTTTTTTATTTATTTATGTTGATTTTCTTTTGTTTTTCAGATTTATTGATATATACGTTTTACCTAACTGATGTCAGTTGATATGAAACTAACATGATTGTAACTCTAGACAAGAGCAGCCACTGTGTTTTCCTTACCTTTACCCTAATGTTTAGTTCCTGTCCTGGTCCTTTTTGACTTTATAGATATTAAGCACTATTGAAATCTCTGTCACTGTGGTATATAAACCAGCACTCCAGTAGTCTAATATACTGACTTGAATATTTATTTGATATTATACAAAGTCAGATTTTCCAGCCAGGCCAAGCAGAAACAACACATCATCATTTCATCTTAATTTTCTACAAAAAATTCAAGGTTTACACATGATTTTTCACTGTTTTTTGTCCTGATGTGATATTAAGAATATTGATGGTAATGCCCTAAGTCAGCATTACATTTATTACTGAACAATAAAACCAAAAACCTGATGTGTTCATTTCAGTAAAATCTTTTCTGTAAATATCAGGATAACTGAAAGCAATAGAATACGGACTGTGGATGATTAAGTTTTTTTGTCAAAAGAAAATATTTTTACAATCAATGAAGATATTTCTTGTTGGTAGTGTTGGGTAGATATGTCAGTTGCTGTTCAGATATAAAGTCAAAATAAACAATAATAAATAGTAAAATTATGTAAGAAAATAATAGTATTTGTCCAAGATATATAATAAGTGGTGTTAAGGCTGACTGATTTACAATGGTAAATAAAGATATATAATCACTAGGACTGGTGTTAAGGCTGACTGATTTACAATGGTAAATAAAGATATATAATAACTAGGACTGGTGTTAAGGCTGACTGATTTACAATGGTAAATAAAGATATATAATAACTAGGACTGGTGGTAAGGCTGACTGATTTACAATGGTAAATAAAGATATATAATAACTGGTAGTAAGGCTGACTAATTTACAATGGTAAGTGCATGTTTTGGAGACATTAAGATTGTAAGAATCCAGTGTTGGACTCTGTTGTATGAATATGTATGACTGTCCCATTTTTCTCTAGAGGATAACTGCTTCATTCAAATCTTACCTGAGAATTGAAGTTTAACATGATGTACTTCAGTATGTTTTGGTATTAAATATTTTACAATAATTTTTGTGGTGAAAATTTTGGTAAACTGTATTTTGTGCAGTTTTGAGATTTGAATGAAAGCAGAGATTCAGAACTTTCTCTTGGCACTCATTTCTCATGTTGGGTTTGTGCGCACTACAGCAGGTAGAAAGTTACGAAGGAATGATGTGTTAAGTCCCTGAGATTTATGTTGATAACTTCCTAAAAACACTAACAGCATGACGCAGGTAAACCATGATGTCGGTAGAAAACCCGAGAATGACATGATTCAGAATCATTTCCTTATCCTTGGAGGAAATCGCATTCATTTCCTTATCCCCAAAGGAGAAACTGAATCACTTGCTATAAAACATTTACAGCAAAAAAAAAGAAATATCTGATACCTAGAGTCTGTTAGCATGTAAGGTATGATCCCCTGTGTTCATGTTATCTGTGTCATTAAAAAGCTTGATTTTTTCATTTATCATCAGGATCACTACAAGACTTTCTATTATCCATATGATCACAATGCTTGAGTCTGAATCACTACAAAGCTTTATTATACCATATTTATCATCACAAAGCTTGGCCATATACATAATTGCAATTAAATTATCAAACACATTGGTGACCTTGATATAAAGTGATATTAATACTTTTATAATATATCAAAAACAAGGATGATCATCTGCCTGTTGATGATGTGACTGTATATACTGGGATTGTTTTGCAGATATCTTTTCAGCCATTTTAGCCATTTATCATTGTCACAAAAAAATTATGATACATTAATCTATTCAACGAACGACATGAAACACTCTGATGCTTAAAATGAATTTTGATGTTAAGAGCAGATAAAGATTTGTGCAAACCACCCAGTAAAGAGTATACTCAGAAACCATGCTGTATTTGAATCTAAACACCAGTTTTATACTTCTAGGCTCTGACTGGGTGGATCCACAGGACCCCACAGTTATTGCTGAAAATGAGCTCCTTGGGGCTGCCAACTCCATTGAGGCAGCAGCAAAGAAGTTAGCCATGCTGAAACCTCGTCCTAAGGTTCAGGTACAGAGGCATATTTATATAAATATTCTGTGTTATATACATCTATATATAGCTCTTAACCACTTCCTCATTAAATGTAGTGACTTCTTGGGTTTGTCATTTTGTAACTTCTGGGCTTTTGTCTTTTAGGTACTTATGGGCTTTGTCATTCCGTGACTTCAGGTCTTTGTCTTTTAGTGACTAATGGGCTTGGTCTTTAAGTGATTTCAAGGCCTTGGCTTTTGTCATTCTGTGACGTCAGGTCTTTTTCTTTTAGTGACTAATGGGCTTTTTCTTTAAGTGATTTCAAGGCCTTGGCATTTGTCCTTCCGTGACTTCAGGTCTTTGTATTTTAGTGACTAATGGGCTTTTTCTTATAGTGACTTCTGGGATTTTTAGTGACTTTTGGTGCCCTCTTTCAGTGACCTCAATGTTCTGTCTTTCATTGACTCCTGGAATTTTATCTTTAGTGACTTCTTGGCTTTGGCTGTTGGTCTCTTATGGGCAGCTAACTTTGTAGCGGAAAGGATAGATTTTATACTATGCCTGTTTGTATTGTTTAGGTCAAGTTGATATTTGAAAATTGATTTGTGAGTTGTAATGTCAGAGATTGAAGAATTTTTAGGAGTAAGATAGGTTTATAATATCAAATCAATGTTGAAACGGAAAAAAGCTGTTCTTTGTAAGGTGTTCTTTGATTGGTCTAGTGGTTACTCACAACACTTGCTAACCTTTCCTAACAAGGCTTTTCATTGGTGGAGGATAACACTGCTAGCTTCTGTGAGATATGTTTGATATATTTGGTGGTGACCTTTGACTTTTCCACCGATTATCAAACATGTCAGCACAGAGGCAGGCTCTAACAACAGCTCTCTAACTATGACAAAATGTCAGCAAAGCCGTTCATCCTAACAACACAGATGTTACCATGGCAACAGAATGTCCACAGGAGTGCAGACTAATGATGCCATTTCTGCAAAACGTTTTCCAGAATCAGTTGGAATATTGATATGGCTGCCAGAGTTTTGATTAATTTTTGTAAATTTAAAGTGGGGTTTGAATTTAACAAATTGAATTTTGATCCCCTGTGTATTTGTGGATTTGTCTTCAAGATAGATAATTAGTTACATTTGTACTGATGATGGCACAATTTAAAATTATAACATCATTGCAGGTCTGTATATAGATACTTGTATATTTAATCTGGGTGTTGGTTTTATCAGACAGATTTGGTAAGTGTCTGTCTTATCACTAATTTTGAAATTCTGTGTTAATAGACCACAATAAGTCATTATATGTTGCATCTTTCCCTTCATTTCTTCACCAACAGACCCAGTGGATACCATTATGTGTAAAAATATATTTTTCCAAAACAGAAAACCGTATCATAAAAGTTTATATCACAAACATTATTTTTAAAAAGTATAAAAGTTGTGAAGAGAAATTGTTTCTGGTATGTGTAACAAATGATTGACAGTTTTAATGTGTTGTTCCTAGATATGACTGATTTATTAAATGGTTTCATGATATGATGTATATATTTTCTAGGAAGCTGATATGAGTTTGGAGTTTGAAGAACAGATCTTAGATGCTGCCAAGTCTATTGCCGCGGCAACAGCAGCTCTAGTGAAATCAGCATCAGCAGCACAGCGGGAACTAGTGGCACAAGGAAAAGTAAGATTGACAACTCTGTTTAAACAATTTACTTCAAGTTTTTACAACTTTTAACATAATGTGTGATCTAAGATGAGATCAAGATCTTACCTTTTTTTTAATCGAAAAAGAAAACAGATTATGTGAATGTGTTAGTCTCCATGCAGGAGAGTTCCGTAGTTGCATGATAGAAGCTATTTCAGTGTCTAGGTATGATATGACTTTTTTTTTTTAGATACTTTAAAACATGATATAAAATATTTAGTGTGTAGTATATCTAACAATTATTTTTTTATTAGTTGCTTATTTATAGAACGTAAATTTGTTTGCTTTGATTTTTGAGTGAATCAGAAATGCTTTATTAAAATGTAAAACTTGCATATTAAATGTTGCATCAGAAAAAATATACTAATTATTAATGTCAAATACAAAAACAGACTGTTTGGTGCTTAAAAATGGCATAAAGGGAGCACCCTATCAGGTGTAAATGTATAGGGAATTCTGGGAGATAATAAATTTAATGCTCGTTAATACTTATAATGTTTGGTTTCTTGAGATTGCATTTTAGATAGAAATGTTAAAGGTCAAATTTCTTTAGAAAAGAGAAATTACAGCTGGTATAGCTTCATCAGGATTTATATTCTGTGTAAATTTGTGTTTGAAAAGCAGTAAATGGTTCATTTCTCATAAATTGTCTACAGTCATCATGATTGGTACCTGAAACTAGAAGTCCTTCCTCAACAGTACAAGGCTACTAGAGGATAAGGCTTCATTCTACTCTTTGCTACCAGAAAGATAACATGGAACTACAAGATTTACACCCTGAACATATCATTATAACTATAGTGTGTCTGTGTTAGAGACAAAGCTTGTTATTTTGCTTTAAAACTAATTATCTCTTTCTATTGTTTCTTTCAATTAATTATGAAAGCAATTGATAAAAGCATTGCTTTGTCATTAACTAGTGCATGTGGCTGTATCTATTTTACATACTGAATCATAAACTCAATGATATTTTAAGTACACTGTACAATGAATATTTTATATTGAAAATTTTTGTAATAGAAAGAAATCACTTAGTAATGTTTCATTATTCCATTAAGAAATAAATATCAGACTTGTATATATGATATATGATATATATATATATATATATATAAATATATTGTATATGGTAAAAGTCATCATACTGTGTAGATTATAACCGACTACAATAAATCATGTACAGTGTACATTCTAAATCTTTCAAAGGAATTAAAATTTTAAAATTTGAATATTTTTTACTTCAAAGATTTATAGCAGAAAAATGAAAAAACAAATTAATATCTGACGATTGTTGACTGAGAATTCTGGATTCAGGATCCTCCTGATATATAAAAGAAAGAAATACAATGTACAATACCATTAATGTATCTAGATACTTACCTGACTATCAGATGATGAATTAAGCTGAACAGGTAAAGGAATTAAATTATTAAAAACATTAAAATGACTGTCATGGCTTTGCTGATGAGCATGCACCATTAAGACAGTAGAAACAAGATACAGAAATGATGCGCTTCGCCTAAATTTCCAGGTTCGACCACGAATAGAGGTAACACCAGTGCTAGTTGCTTGTTCACCCTTTTTCTTACAATGCTTGTTGGTTTCTATGCAGTTATTGAACTTTTGAAAGCTTGGAAACAGTTGCCATGCCTATAGAGTTTGATAAAATAGATAAATATACTAATATAGAAAAACATCTCTACAATTTAAAAGATTTAGGAATGAAGAAAAGAAAAATAAATTGTTGCTAAAATTTAGAAATTTAGTAAACAACTTGACAGGTGAACTTTGCTTATTTAAATGAAAACTGTCAAAACAGAATGCTTCTGTGTATGTTTTAATTGCTATCATGAAAAAGACTTTTTGGAAATATATTTTTAAAAGTTATGAAATGGCGTGGCAACTGGGTTTGGTTTTGGTGACAGATATTTAAAACCAGAATGTAAACAGTGCTACATTTGTACATTTATTCAGTAAAGACTTTGATATTTAATGATTTGGGTGATTTGTTTTGTCATCGTTCTCTTTACAGCATTTCTTTATATCCCTGAAGGACGTAGATTTACACTGTTATAGAAACTGTTGTTAATTCATTGTCAAATGTGATAAAGATTATTGTACAAATGCAAATTACATTTACGGCGTGAAATGGGTATTTATTTAATTCAGAACTTTTGTGTTGATAAGTGCCCTAGAATTACATTTCTCTATTCAGTCCTATCTGTCCGTGGTCTATACGATAATATTTCCAGCTTGGTGTGACTTTTTATCCTTAGTGTGAGGAGACTGGTATTTCACCTGTTTTTAGTGGGCTGCTTTGTTGGAGTGATATATAGACCCTTAAAAAATATTCCACGTTTTGCTTTGTGATTTTTACCTCCAGTATTGATTTCACCTAGTGCTTGATCAGTATATAAATAAACATAAGACGTTGGACCAGGAATTTACCATGTATACAGATATGATCATTGATGATAGAAGAGAAAATTTTAATGATTTCAGAAAATTATTTTTCATTACATTCATTACACAAACCATTCAAAAGAATTACATCATTTCCAGTACCTCCATTTGATCACCTCACAACCTTGGAGAACACATACATGATGTCTGTGATTGTACTGAAAGTGAAATAATGTGTGATTTACCAAATATGGCTTTATAATGAGGTTAGGATTAGATAACACTTGACCAATTAAAGGGACATCTGGCAAAGTTCAAAGGTCAATAACAACATATGTCCAGTCTCTGAGAGCAGGTGTTCACTTTTTTATCTCTATTTACTGTATCATAGATGGATGGAGTGTGTTTTCTATGTTTAAATAAGAGAGATTTGATCTTGTTTGACCCCTCACAGATGGATGGAGTGTGTTTTCTATGTTTAAATAAGATAGATTTGATCTTGTTTGACCTCTGAACCAAGCAATTGTATTTTGAATTTGATCATTATAATGAGTTTTTGAACTAAACATGCTTCTATGTATATAAGTTATATACATAGGTATTGGGCACAAGTTTTCTTAGTTATATCAAGCCCTTATCTAAATATGAAATTACAGGATTGAACAGTCTGGAGGGAAAAAATACCATTTCAAGGTCTATAAGTTATTGAAGTATGCAGAGGTGGAGATTTAATAAATAACTTATTATTATTATTAAATATTTGGTTTGTAACCACACAAAAATCTGGGTCATTTTTAGTCTGGGTCCCCAAGTAATAGCTGGTGGCTACCCTACTAAACAACATGCAGAAGGCCAACCACTTACTATTCAGTGTACTTAGGGTTAAGTGTCTTCTCTGAAGACACACAACACCAGGTGGAGGCCAACCACTTACTATTCAGTGTACTTAGGGTTAAGTGTCTTCTCTGAAGACACACAACACCAGGTGGAGGCCAACCACATACTATTCAGTGTACTTAGGGTTATGCGTCTTCTCTAAAGACACACAACACCAGGTGGAGGCCAACCACTTACTATTCAGTGTACTTAGGGCTAAGTGTCTTCCCTAAAGACACAACACCAGGTGGCAGCCAACCACTTACTATCCAGTGTACTTAGGGTCAAGCGTCTTCTCTAAAGACACACAACACTATATGATCTGTTTCTGAAACTCCCAGTATGGAAGCATCTAACCACAAACCTCAGAACTTTACCTACTGTTGTAAAGTATAATGCTCTTCTGAAGGAAATATTGTGGCCTGTGAATGAGAATATCTATACTTATATCCTATTCAATATTCAGTGTATGCTTGAATTATGATTATCTGACTGAATGGTGATGAATGTAAAGTATTGGTTCCATATATTGAATAGCAAGAAGATCATTCTATTGACAGTGCAGTTTCACTCACTTTCTATAAAAAATATGAAAAATTACATAAATCAATGAATACTCCACAACTTAAATCTTTTGATTCCTAATTGATTCTTAATTAATTCCTAATTCCTAATTGATTCATAATTGATTGTTTTCTGTGATAAATAATTAAAAATTAAAGTGAACTTCAGGACCACGAGAGCTGGACGTTCTGTCATTACTAAATAGTTCTTTACACCAAGCCACTAGTCAAGGCAATATTATCTAAAATGTGCCATGTTTTAAACATGTTTCATAAGGAGGAAGTTAAACACATAATAAGGTTTCTAGCGCGATTAAGTTTTTGTCAAGAAGAGTTAAACTGTACTGTCAGTAAGATAAGTTTGATCATATTTTGACTTTATATTGTATAGTGTTTGAGTTTACAGTGAAACTTGTCTTCCTTCATCTCTTCTTGTATGAACCCAGAGTTCTACAAATGTCTTATCACACTCCTGAATATTATGGTATTATGTACATTCTCACCCCTGGGTTTTCTGACACCCTGTCTTATCTGAGCCCTTACCATTATGACATCCTGTCTAATTTGACCCCTGAGTTTAATGATATCCTGTCTAATCTGACACACACATATTCTGACATCCCGTCTAATCTAACCCCTGAGCATTCTGACATCCTGTCTAATCTGATCCAGTAGCACTCTGAAGTCCTGTCTAATCTTGTCTCAAGTATTCCAAAGTCATGTCTGTTCTGACACCTTACTATCCTGACATCCTGTCTAATCTGACCCCTTAGTTTTCTGACATCCTGTCCAATGTGGCACCTTAATATTTTGACATCCTGTCTAATCTGACCCCGTCGTATTCTGACATCCTGTCCAATGTGGCACCTTAATATTCTGACATCCTGTCAGCTTTTTTTATGTCATAGACAGGTTTCACTGGTGACACTTTGAATACTTCATAAAATATTTACATTATCAATCACTTGAAGACATTGTAGACCAGTTATCATCAAAGTATAAAACATGGAGTAATCTGTCAATAAAATATTTTCTTTAATGTCATTAATATCTGCTATAAATGATCTGTGTTTTGTGTAATTCAAAATGACTGGTCATCAATGGCTTTATTATACCATAGGTTGTGGTGCTGCTCCATATTACAGTACAAATCTAGATCATTATATTACAGTATTTTATACACAGTCTGAAAACTATCTCTGATTCTTACAGATAGCTAGAAAGTATGCTGGTGATTTATAACTGTGCTACATTGACAGCTGTTGTCTGATGAATATACACTTCTTATATTAAAATAAAAATATAAATGATTATTGTATTTTAAAAAAAATACCAGGACAGATGATCATATTTGATAAATAGACACATTTTTTTAAATGTTGTTTAAACTGTATAGATACATTTTACTGACAGTAGTGGAGAAAAACAATGTTAAAATCTTGGTTGACTTGATTTCAAAATCCTGAGCCTAATTATAATGGTCAGTGTAATCAAATTTGTGTATGATCAAAAAGTTTTAAAATCAGATTTTAGTATGACTTTCTGTTGTGTACATTTGCTTTGTGAGAGAAAGACTGAGTGAACAATAAGTATCAATTATTATAAATTTTCCAATCTAACAAGAGTTATTTCCCTTTATTTCTCTTGCCACTCATACTTTCTGCCTAGGGTAAACACAGACTAAAAATATCCCTACTAGACCATTCTGGGTCACATGACTTTCTCTAATCGACAAGTCTCTCAAATTCTAAAGATATATTAATATGCACACATAGTGATATCTAGTTTGACACAGCTGCACTGACAGGAAACTGTCACCATGTGTATTACATGTAGAATCTGCCCTTACACCTGGAAGGTACGATTAAGTGCTCACTATCAGAGAACTTTGCACTCTCTGTGGTGTTAAGATTTTAGCTTCTTAACACAGGGAATATAAAATCTTCTCTCACACATTAAATTAGTCTAGTAAAAAGACAAACAGTAATGGTTCTGCTATGAAATCATATTCAAATTAAGTTTGTAACATTACATTTAACAGTTCTCACATTGAATCTGTAGCTGTTCAATTTGAGAGATAAATTTGAAAGGGGAGACAACTTTGTTTAGGGACTGTGAATATGAACATTTTATACATATATTCAAAATGTCATAATAGAAATACTGTTTAGAATTATGAAAAATATGAAAGATAGTTGGTAGTTTTTATGTCATGTATAAAGAACAGTTATAATTACCTTCCCATTTCTTAATATTTCTTTGATGTAATTTATTAACTTTTTTTTTGTATATAAGTATATATTATAAGACACAGCAATGTTTATGTTGATTTTATAGAAGATCCAAAATGAAATGAAAAAATGAACCTAATTTGTTACAGGTGGGAGCTACCTACAGTCGGATGGACACAGATGAGGATGGACAGTGGTCACAGGGACTGATATCAGCTGTAAGTATTGATACCAGACTCTAATCCAGGATTCCAGAAGAAAGTGTTCGATCTTTTTTGTATGGTGATGTTGATATAACCATTCCTTCCATGTGTAGGGAACAAATGTCTTCGATATCTCGTATGTGACATTAATGAACACAGATAAAACTTCAGCCAGGAATTGTTGTCTTTGTATACTACTAAGGGGAAAAGATAAACAGGATTGTTGTCTTTGTATACTACTAAGGGGGAAAAGATAAACAGGATTGTTGTCTTTGTATACTACTAAGGGGGAAAGATAAACAGGATTGTTGTCTTTGTATACTACTAGGGGGAAAAGATAAACAGGATTGTTGTCTTTGTATACTACTAAGGGGGAAAAGATAAACAGGATTGCTGTCTTTGTATACTACTAGGGGGAAAAGATAAATAGGATTGTTGTCTTTGTATACTACTAGGGGGAGAAGATAAACAGGATTGTTGTCTTTGTATACTACTAAGGGGGAAAAGATAAACAGGATTGCTGTCTTTGTATACTACTAGGGGGAAAAGATAAACAGGATTGTTGTCTTTGTATACTACTAAGGGGGAAAAGATAAACAGGATTGTTGCCTTTGTATACTACTAAGGGGGAAAAGATAAACAGGATTGTTGCCTTTGTATACTACTAGGGGGAAAAATAAACAGGATTGTTGTCTTTGTATACTACTAGGGGGAAAAGATAAACAGGATTGTTGCCTTTGTATACTACTAGGGGGAAAAGATAAACAGGATTGTTGCCTTTGTATACTACTAAGGGGAAAAGATAAACAGGATTGTTGCCTTAATCTCCAGACTTGCAATATTATCCTTAGAATTAGTTGTCTGAAAATCTGAGATTTTGTATGTAAGATAGATTCTTATTGAAATATATCCATTAGGCATTCAGGCAATCGATTAATAACTTAGTAAAAGTTCAGTTTAATGAAAATTGTAATCTTATTTCCCTTAAAGTTTAAACAGTTTTTAAATTCTTCAATCTCATTATGTATTTCAGGCCCGACTTGTTGCTACGGCAACCCACAGTTTGTGTGAATCAGCCAATGCCATGGTTCAGGGAAATGCCACAGAAGAGAGACTCATCGCATCATCCAAGGAGGTCGCAGGGTCAACAGCAGCACTACTGGTGGCCTGTAAGGTCAAGGCTGATCCTGGCTCTGTTGCCATGCAACGGTTACAGGTAAGAGAGATGTACCTGGAGTTACAGGAATGAAGTGTTTGTTTCATCCCTTTGAGCAGGTTCGGTTCCTCTCTAACCTAAATTTTTTCAATCAGATGATATTTCAACTGACATATATACAAATCATTCATTAGGAAATTTTATTAACCTAACCACCTCGCATAACAGTTTAGCTCATTTCGTGAAATAAAGATTTCTTTTCTGTACAAACAACATGAAAACATCTATACCTATGTCATGCACACATACTCCCAACTTCAAACTACGTTTTGTGGACACAAAATAAAGTGCAAATTACACAAGTTCTTAAGGTCCCAAACAGCCTCCCTGTAGTATTTTAGAATGATTGAACAACAACGACCCAAAGTATAATCAGTTTCATTGTTTCAGGCGGCTGGTAATGCAGTGAAACGGGCCACAGATGCATTAGTCAAGCAGGCCCAACAGTCGAAGGATGCAGAGGAAGGAACCCAGCTGACTATTAACAAGAGAATGGTGGGGGGTATCGCACAGGTGAGTAAAGCTCAGTGATCAGTGGGGAAACGTATAGAAAATTGATTGAATAAAGCAAACAATTCAGATGGATAATAGGACAGGTAAATTCAGTCGTCATGGAAACCAAAATTTCCTCTGTAAATTAAATGAAAAAAAAAATCACTCGTAATACTTACGGAAGTAGAAAGTTGTAAAGAAATTTAACTATTGACACGTAGAAGTTATCACTGATTTATAGCTTCAAGTAATTTGTCATTTCAAAAGTAATTTGTCATTCCAAAAACCAATTGTTATGATGTAAATTCTGGACTTTCTGTCAAAGATAAATTTTCATCAAATCATTATTTATGTTTCTTGGTGAAAAAGATTGGTAAATTAATCTTTTGTGTCAATAATTTCTAATTTCAGGAACTTCAAGCTCAAGAAGAGATTCTCAGAAAAGAAAAAGAATTACAAATGGCCAGGCAGAAGCTAGCTGGTATAAGGAAAGCCAAGTACAAAGACAGACCAGACGAATACGACTCGTCGTCTTCATTTTAACACATTAGATAGGACAATCTTTACATGTATTGGAATTTGTATCGGAAAGGAATTACGCAACAGAAAAAAACTGAGTGATTCAAACTGTTGAAAAGATGTTTGAATATTTAATATATACCAACAGGTAAACATGTGATAAGGATGAGGAAGGATATAAAAACCGGAGAGAAGAAATCTTAGGGTCAGAGACATTATATCAGGATATAGTGTAAAAAGGAAGAAAGATGGAAAAATTCTTTTGACAAAGAATCTGGATGATTTGAACGAACATATTTTTGCAAGTTAAAAGTTTTTATGGGAAAACATAACAATGTCACCAACGTTTGTAATACTAATTTGTGAAACTATGGCTTAATCTTTTATAGTGTAATTTTAGTGTTTTTCACTTGATTTTGGTTTTTCTCACAAAATAGTGCTGCAAAAAATAAAAGGCTTATTATAATATTATAATTATAATAAGTCGACGTGTGGTAAGATGTGTTATTGTGATATTCAATCATTAGATATATATGGCACTTCACAGATATCATTATAGACTAAAAGATATTAAGAAAAGAATCCCTGTGTTTACTTCAGTTTAATAATATGGTATTTATCTTGGATAAATATATTGGACAAAGTCATGATAAAGTTACACAATGGATAAGACACACGAGGAGGATAATTCTTCTGAATAAATCCTTGATAACAGTTTACATTTTTTATGAATAAATTTAGTTGGAATTTTGTATGCATCTGAGACTGTGCTTAACAAAGAACTGCTGGAGGAATGCAAATATACTGAATGTGCCTAAAAAGTCTTGTGATGTTTTTTTTATATCCAATGTGACTGAAGTGTTTTTGTTTGATGTTGCTGGCCCAAGTTATCTTTTTGTATAGAGGACTTCAGTATCGAAGGAAAAGCAAGAAGAAGACTGCTTGGATATGTCACAACAATTTTGATTGGTTTAGAAGACCTATTGTGGTGTATTTAACCAATCAAAAGACTCCATAGGAAATTTTTGTAGAAAGTCATTTTTATTCCGTCATACTTAATAGATCAGAAATGTTTAAAGAAAATGGAGTATTAATTTTACTATATCACATAGTCATATTATTCCAATATAAATCAGTACCAAAATGTAATCAAAACACGTATATACAATATTCTTTTCCAGTTTTATTCAGGAAGACATGTACTACCTGTCATTTTATTTTTGATTCTATTTAGATTGAGACCAATAATGATCATACTATTTGATAAATTAAACAAACTGTTATGCTACATTATATGCTGTATTTTGATCTCTAAACAACATTTAGGATTATTTCCCTTTGTTTCATATGAATTACTTATTCATTACATTTTTATAACATTTTTATTTCTGAAAACTTATGTAGAAAGGCTAAGTACTAAAACAGTTGTAGAAAGGCTAAGTATTAAAACAGTTGACCTTAAAACTTGACAACATCTGGAGAAGAAAGTTACTGGTAGAAGTAAAATTTTGTGAGAAAACAAAACCTGGGTTTATATTGTTTCACAAAATTGAAACTGTTTGTTCGTTATGAGGAAGTGATTGTATTAAAACACTTGATCTATTATGTTATATAGACAGTTTGTTGTATATGTAGTTCTGAATTTTTATTTTATCATTTTTTATGAAAGTTCTTTTCTGTTTCCAGAGTAAAAACAAAATAATGTTATATTGTAGTGACTAACACAATGTGTTGACACTGGTCCATATTTTTATGACAAATTTTCTTGAACATGTAATTGATATACCTGTGTGTAGAAACTTTCAAACAATGTATTGATGTTTTCCTGTCGCAATTGATAACGTTTTATAGAAAGATTTCTCAATGTTGCTTTGTTGGCTTCACATTTGAATTGAAAAAAAAATAAAAAGCAAGCCTTGCTTGTATTAGAATCAGTGAACACTGTTACACCAAGGAGAAACTCATTTGTCCTATTTATCCTAAAATAAAACCTACACACCTGTTGTTCCATAAATAGAGATACTGGAAATGATTTGCTGTGAGATATATCTCACCTTGACTAACGAGTTTCGTGTGTTGTAAATACAGGTATGTATAGATGTGTATACATATGTATTTGTATATATGAGGACTGTTTTACTTGAGGCTTATTCTGTATAAATACATTGTGATAGGAAACCAAGTATTGGCCATATGTGTGGTATTTTTGTACTTGTTAACGAGCTTTAAATTACACTATGGAACTGTGCAGCTTCATGTATTTGTTACCGTGTTCTGGGCAACCATCACCATGAGTTATCTTTCACCCTTCTGTCATTAGGGTAAAAATATGAGGTGGACTTCAGCTTATAAGTCAAGTAGTTTAGGGCTAGTTTAAATCTAAAAGGGTGACAAAAAACAGGATTGGGCAAATGATTACCCTCATTTTTTCTTCAAGAATGTACTAAATCCTTTGGGGTTGGATTGTTTTAAAATTCAAATTTCTTTGCTATTCTTTACCGTTTTTTTTTTTCAGTTACATCATTGGAAATGTAATTGATTTATTCTTGGACAAGAATACATGCTTGAATAAAGAGTGTATTTTTTTCATGACCAACTTTTTTTTCAGTTCAAATTAATTTAAGATATTTTAACTGAAGACATTCTGATTGAGGGAGTCTGTAGCTTTCATTAGTGTGTAGTTCATTGTTAATTTCTTAACAAAATCCTGAAAACCTTTTTTTCTTTAAATAGATAGGCTATCTGTAGTTAATACAATTGTTTATAGAGACCGTGATTTGGTGTTACTGAAAAGTCCTGTATGATTTCTGTATTCTTGAAAGTTATATACAAACACTGTACATGTTTGTTACTATTACAACAGCTCTGTATGTATTTGTGAACTATTCTATACTGGAAGTATTTTTTTCACTCTTAGACACCTGCTGAAGGTTCAGAATTTCTCTCTGTTTTTCCCTGGACATTGTTACACTATCAATTTTAAAATCTACGAGAATGAATGAATCACCATAGACATATTCTTTAAGATTTGTGTTGGATAAAATAAAATTTCAGAATCTATTTACAAATTATTAAAACTCACAGTAAAAGTTGACTAATTGTAAAGTTTATTGTTTTGCCATGGAATTCTATGTGGAATATATAAATGAACACATTTATATTTTATAATTTGAAAGTCATCCGCGGTACCTTGGATATTTCTTCAAATGATTTCATGGAGAAAACTGTCTAGGTTTTCTGGCTGGTGTTTAAATCATGTTTATCAATAACTTTGGAATTATCCTAAGGGAGATAACTAAATTGTAAGTCACTTTGTTCATCAGATCACGAGAGAATCAGAATCATACGCAGAAGCTATTTGTATGTCATTCTACAAACATCAGATGTTGAATTGGAAGTGCTTTTTGTGGTTTTTCTTGTTGAAATATTTTCAAGTGATTTCAAGTGTATTTTTTGTACTTGATTTAGACTTATATAGCTAAGTATTTATCTTTTTATTTATATACAGATAATGAAAATATGTATATCCTCCCAGATAATGCCCCATCAGATCTGTTGTATATATAACATTTTTACCCTCATTTCCCGTTTGTCTTGTGTAAGGAGTTTTGATTGGTCTAGTAATGATTTCTCAACCAATAAAACATTTTGTTACAAGCTCATGGAGTTGAATTCCTTGGAATTTGAAACAGAACATTTGATTGGTTGATAACTTTTATTTCTACCAACCAGACATTTTGTAATAGATTAATGATAGGAAGATGGGCTTTATTGAAGATTAGTATACTATGATTGTCCATTGTACAATCGTGACAGTTAAGTCTGTACGAATAATTTGCATATCATGAATATTAAATTTGCTTCAAATATTATCTAAAAGATATTATGTTGAAAAAATGATTAAGTAAATTAATCTATTTAAACAAAGTTGTTTTGTTGTCTTTTGAACCTAATCTGTACATTACATTACATCCTTTGATGTGTTATTTCAATGTGCTACATTATATATGATTACCGGTATTATAAAACCATGACATGTTAAGTTTTATGTCTCTTGAGACAAAGGAAAAGTCTACCTTGTAACGGTTTCTCTACCTACAGAAAGTAAAGGGTGTTATTTATGTCCTTGTCATCCCGTTCATAACTAGGGACATTTAGATACAGGGTCTCCTTATAGCTGATGGCTACCTCAGATATCGTGGAGATGTTGATTGTGAAGATGAAAGTGATACAAGACATGGCTGTACAGACGGATGGAAGATGAAAGTGATATAAGACATAGCTGTACAGACAGATGGAAGATGAAAGTGATATAAGACATGGCTGTACAGACAGATGGAAGGTGAAAGTGATACAAGACATGGCTGTACAGACGGATGGAAGATGAAAGTGATATAAGACAGGGCTGTACAGACAGATGGAAGATGAAAATGATATAAAACATTGTTGTACAGACAGACAGAAGCAACTCCTCCGATCTCCTATCAGTGTCATTATTAATAAACACAGTTTTAATGTTACAGATAAAAAGAAACTTAAGCCTATCAAGAACTTCACAGAGGGCTGTGGTGTGTAGCTTGTTGGATAAAACTTGGGATGTTAAGCTTTGAAGAGTTAACAAGATCCTACAAAAGGATTTTGGTACACAGGCACATTCACATGTATGTATATACAGTGTATATATTTCAAGCAGAAAATCATTAAATTCATATCATGTTTATGAAAGAATATAAAGGTAGTAAATATTCAATGTAAATGACACCAGGTAATTCCTGACAGTAACTTTAGATTTCTTCAAAGTAACTGGCAAATTAGCAAAGGGCCATAACTCTTTATATGGAGGTCTCAAGACCAAATTTCTGTAAGTGGTACTGAGCAGTGGTAACCAGTTAAAATTACTGCTACTTTCATAGATTAACAGACCAGTTGAGTAACATTGACCTACTTTCATTGACATTGATCCACTTTAGTAATGACTGCTATTGACTAAATCTATTTTCAGTAATATTGGCCTACTTTAAGTGACATTTACCTACTTATATTACAATGACCTACTCAAGTGTTAATGACCTAAATAAGGAAACAATGAGGCAGAAACTTTGCCCTTCTGTACAGGCTTAAACAAGGAACAAAAAGCTTGGAAGGAATTCCTGTATCAAGTGACATTTTTACCTTTCAGTATGGCCAGCAACTGCGAGAAGATACTTCGGCATCAAGTAAACAAGAAACCTTGAACTAAACAATCCAAACATTAAAAACACCTATCACTACCATGTGAACTGATTCCTAACACATATTCATATATCACATTAACTGTTTTGTGACATAAATAAATGATTTGATAAACATCGAGTGAGATTGAAACAAAAAATTAATTGTGAACTAGAAAAAAAATTTTCTATGAAACTGTTCAGATCAGAGAAAAGATAAATAATTTTTTCTAAGAATCAGTTTCAGGTCAGAGAGTAAACAGATTATGTAAGAAATGTTCATGTTACCGATATTGTCATAATGATAATGTTCATATCACACTGGGTTGCTGTTAATATTGTCAAGTATGAATTTCAAACAATTCTTCTAATTATTGCAAGCAGTCATATTTATACACTTCAACTTTTAGATGAAGTTCACAAAGATACACTTGTGGCAAATTTCTGGCAACAATTATCACAAATACAGAGGAATCCACTTCATATCATGTTCCATTTGTCAGAGGAAAACGTGATAATAAGTGGAACATGACATTAATGGTCGACACATTTTTTTTTCTAACCCTGAAATTGATAATCTGAACCTCCAAACTGACCTGTTTCTTACAGAAATTGTTTGAGGAACTAAATACGTAGTTATTTTCCATAACTTTTTTTGGTTCATTCACTAACCTGCTATCTTACATCACAGTGAAAGATCATGTCATATTTACTGTTTACATGTCTTCAAATTTGTTTGCAACACTACAATGTCATCATCTGCTGTAATATAAAAGTTATTTTTAAAACCTTAAATACAAAGACCTCTACGTAATAACAACTTTTGGAAAGATTCATAAAATCATATGAAACATTCATGATAATTTTGAAATTTCTCTCTTTGGGTTTCCACAAATAAAATGCCAATTAGAAGTGTTGATTTTTCTGAAACACTATACTGGGTATATACATCACAATATTTCAATACATGACAAATAGTTCATGTAATTCTGTGCAGTTTATAGGAAAATCAGTTGTGAAAAAGAAAGCTTCACAATACAACCTTATAAAATTCCTTTCTAATGACCTGGAAATGGTAAGACATGAATGTCTTATCTCCCATACATATGTGTTGACCCCAGAGGTCCTGTAATCAGTCAATCCCCTGACCTGGGGTATTAAGTAATGTGTTGACTGCGAGGTCCTGTATTCAGCCTATCCCCTGACCTTGGGTATTAAGTAATGTGTTGACCACGAGGTCCTGTATTCAGCCTATCCCCTGACCTTGGGTATTAAGTAATGTGTTGACCGCGAGGTCCTGTATTCAGCCTATCCCCTGACCTTGGTTATTAAGTAATGTGTTGACCGCGAGGTCCTGTATCCAGCCTATCCCCTGACCTTGGGTATTAAGTAATGTGTTGACCACGAGATCCTGCATCCAGCCTATCCCCTGACCTTGGGTATTAAGTAATGTGTTGACCGCGAGGTGCTGTATTCAGCCTATCCCCTGACCTTGGTTATTAAGTAATGTGTTGACCGCGAGGTCCTGTATCCAGCCTATCCCCTGACCTTGGGTATTAAGTAATGTGTTGACCCCAGGTGTCCTGTATTCTGCCTATCCCCTGACCTTTTGTTTTAAGTAATGTGTTGACTGCGAGGTCCTGTATCCAGCCTATCCCCTGACCTTGGGTATTAAGTAATGTGTTGACTGCGAGGTCCTGTATTCAGCCTATCCCCTGACCTTGGGTATTAAGTAATGTGTTGACCCCAGGTGTCCTGTATCCAGCCTATCCCCTGACCTTGGGTATTAAGTAATGTGTTGACCCACTGTGTCCTGTATCCAGCCTATCCCCTGACCTTGGGTATTAAGTAAGTTATCCACATAAGCTTTTGTAGGATAAATGCATATAATGGTTCTTGCATCATAAAGACTAGAATAGTTCATTCCTTCTGTTCAATTCAATTTAAGGCAAAAAACAAAAATCTTTTCTACATTATTATTCTATAATGAAGAGTTCTTTCAGGTAAAAACATATTAAAAGTTCCAATAATGTACACAATGCAGAAAATACACTAAAATATGAAATACATATCCAGCTTGGATAATGAACTTTTCAACATTTTTAACAGTTATACAAATATCCAATGCAAACATACATCTTACTTAATTGTACTTCACAGAACAAAGAAAAACAATTAAAAAAAATTCAAATATGAGCTGGTTTCCCATACCATTCCTGATTTTAAATCTATAGTCACCAAAGGGAGATAACTTTAAAAAAAAGCATGGCACTTCGCTCATGTAAATAAACAGATGAAAATATCTCATTTTCTTTATAAATTTATGGAACACAAACACTGCTTGTACATTGACACCAAAAGGGAATAATCATTAAGTTGGTATGACATTCTACAATGCTCAGTAGTAAAGTGTATTTTACTCAAACACTTGTAGGGTTTGTTTCAACACTCTAATAGGATCTTAGCGGCTGTAGTGTGATCCTAAATTTCACATTTTGTGATGGCAATTGAACTTTTTCTGACTTTTGTGGTCTGACAAATATTTGAGGGTTAATCCCAACTGATGTCTTTTGATTTTCACTATTTGCCTTGCCTCTGTCAAACATTTTCTCTAAGCTAGAACTTTTGGACTTGTTTCCGTCTAACAATTTCTCCACGCTTGAACTTCTAGACTTGCTTCTGTCCGATAATTTCTCCACACTTAAATTCTTGAACTTGTCACACAGTGCTCTGCTCTGCTGATGCCACCAGACTTTTGGGTTTACTCTTGGCTGTTGTCTTCTCAAAACCTGCTCCCTTAAACTTGCTTTGAGTTGCTGATTTCCCTCAACCTATACATTTCCTTTGATCTACTGATTCCAGTCCTCTTGCAGTTTTGCTCTTGGCTACAAGCTCACTCAGGTTTTTACATTTTCCCTTCGTCTCAGATTTCTTTGATGCAGCATGCCATGATTCATCAGTACAGAATTCTTTCTTTCTTTGTCCATCAAAATCTTTGTGAGATTCAGCTTTTCCAAAAGTAGGATCAACTTGATGGTTACCATGCTCCATTGGTGTGAAGTAATTTTACCCTACCACAGCAGAATGGAGTGGAGTTTTCCTGACATCCATTTTATGTGCATCTCTCTACTGTTGATCTCCCAGTCCTTGACCCTGAAACTGCATGTTTGGAACTAAAAACAACTTTTCACCATCAAATGGCTGAAAATAATCTTTGCTGGAGGGCTCTTTTTTGGAGGTGAAACTTGAGTCCTTTACTGATGGTTTTGTTTGTTGATCTTTTTTACCAAAATGTCCGAACTCTTTTCTGCAATCATCTGTGGCAATCGTATAGCTTCTGTCTACCACTGCTGATGTAGACTTTGATGAAAATTTCTTTGCAAATTTTTCAGTGTATAAACTAACATTCTTCTTGGTGGCCTTAGAGTGACCTTTACATGGTTCTCTCGTGTCAATAACAGACACACTTTTATCTTCTTTTTCTGGTTCCATAGTCTCAATATTCTCTAGTTCCTCAGCATATACTCCATTCTTTAACTTGCCTTTTTTTGTTGTTTTCATTCTTTTTTCCTGTAGCTGTTTGTAGGTTCGTTGTGCCTTGAGTAGTGACTCCAGTACAGCTGATCTCTTCACTACAGAAAGTGAACGCTTACTATCAGTTTCTTGTAGATTTACAAGTGACTTTTGTGACGTGTTCGAATTTTCCATCAATGTTTT